TTCTCCTCACTACCCCTATATTCTTTCTGAAAAAAAGAAAGAAAATAATTCAATAGTAATGTTTTCACGATGCAAGCAGATGACTTTTAAAGGTCTCTCCCCTCCTGGATGGCAGTTGTTTTGAAAGCTTGTTTAGATGCTTGCAAAAAATAGCAAAACTTCCTCAGCACTTAAAAATAAATAGAAGCAATTTAAACTACTAGCAGGCATGTATATAATAAATACCAAATATTTTAGCAGATGATTCAGATGAAAGCAATAGAAAGAATATGAACTTCTCCTGCATTGTGTCTTTGAGATAATGTTTAATCTACTTCATTACACACCTACTTTTGTAACGTGCTGGGTCCTGAAATGCAAGGAGGACAATCCAATTCTGGTCTTTGCTTTCACGTGCTCTAATGCAGTACATTTGTCATGGAAAAGAAAAAAGTCCCTAAAACAACCTTGTCTAAATTCTTGCTGAATTAAATTTTAAGATGCAGTTGTGAAGTATTAAAATCTGACTTTAAAGAATAACATTGATTCAATGTGGTTGTCGAAGAAACTCCTTTTTTTTGAATATAACAAATCTGTTTTAGAGTAAATCATGCACAGAAGGCCATCACTTGGAGAAGTTTCTAACTGATTTATCACTTATATTGGAAAGTCTCTGAAGTATGCTGTTGTCCAGAGCCCTTTTTCTGTTGTACTACTGGCAATTATGATGAGCAGTGCAATATTAAAAGGGCATTGGCTGGCAGAAACATGACCCCCTTTAGCAGCCCACCCTCTTCAGAGTGGGCAAACAACCCTAAAATAGATGCCTCCTCCAGTGTATTTATGCACGTGTGTGAAATAAGGTTTTATACATGTGGGAGTGGTTTTAAGTAAGGAGACAGATCCTGGGTTATAGATTTTATTTGTCCTTATATATGAAAGGGCTGGAATAGTTTAAACACATCCTATTTAAAACAATCTCTAAACATTTCTGGGAGCTTTCAAGGCATCACATTACCTGCTTTGTTTACCGATATCCTGTGAGTAATTCATTATTCTACACACTCTAAATTTCTACACACTTTCATGCAATATCTACATGGAAATTTTTATAATGATTTCTTCATAGTTTTTCCCCTTTAGAAACTCTTCCCTGTATGTTCAAGGTGGTCCCTACCAATGTCTGTAGGGATTTAATGCTGTTGATTTGTTTCTATGAATCTGTTGTGTTTATGCTGTGATTTTTGAGTGGTGACACTGAGATATGCATGAGATTGAAGCACAGACACTATGTATTTTTGTATACAAGTCCCATCGTTTCTCTAACATTTTCCTCCACAGCAAATCAAAGCACTGTGTATTTATACCAGTCTATATATACACACACATCAGGCTTTTTGGTCTGTACTGGTCAACCACTAGAAAACACACAGCACAATTAAGAAAACTTCTGAAAGCACAGGAAGGGGCTGGCACTTTGTGTGATTTATTTAAATCGTGCAGTTCAGATTCATTGACTGACCAATTTAGTTTTTATGGAAACACATACGTTTGGGAATGCTGAATTAAGCCCCTTGTTCTTTTTATTCTCCATTACTATAGCAAAATATTTGATTGTATAAAACCTTCATAACGTACCGTGCCTAGATATACTGGGCATGTAGCAAAAGCCTGAATGGTTTGTTTAACAAGCCATACTAACAGTGCTCTTTCTCTCTCTCTCTCTCTTTCTTTCTTTCTCTCTCCCTCTCATTTTTTTAACTAACTTTTTGTTATTGTTGTTTTTTTTTTTACTTTGTCTAATTACGATTGCAAATAAACTTTGTCATGCAGAGTTTTATTGGGGCTAAACATAAAAACGTTATTGTGGTTAACACTGTAATGTAACAGTCCCTTACAAAAGGATGCAGGGCAGCTGTGCAGAACGTGACAGTGGCTGCTGGTATCGCTGGCTCTGACAATGTTGCACTACTGTCTGCACAAATAAAGCAGTGCAATAATATTGTCAAAGCATTTGGTTCCAGTCCTAATACATCCTTATGATCAGTTACTGTTGCACACCCAGCCCCTGACATTATGGGATTCTGTAGTTATTTAATGCATTTTAGGAGGCAACCATCCCCCTACTCTGATTCCTCCTCCCCACCCTGCCACAAAGGCTCGAGCGAGCGTTAAATTGTCAAGCTTGTGTAGAAATTGCCTAAAAAATCCATCCCCTCGTGTTTGTTTGTTTATTTTGTGTTTAGGTTGAGTGGTCTGTATGGAAATTCCTTGGGTTTTGTTCCCCGTTTTGACTGCTTCAGTGTACAAAATGGATTGCCCTTTCTGCCACTAGCGTGGGTTTGTGTGTCCAAGTTGTAAAATAAAACGCTGGCCTATTCACATTTTAAAGCCCTCTTGTCCTCCTTTAGAGCAATCACCACCTTTAAAAATATCCTGACCAAGTCTGAATCTTTTCTTGCTTCTGCTTTAAAAATTAGTCTTAGGAACGTCAGGATGTTGTTATTGTGTATGGAATTCAGTGACTTTAATATATACACGTGTATTCACAGGCAATTTAATTTTTGCTTCCTATTGATATATCTTCCAAGTTCCATCGTATTTCACTTTTAGAGGAATTACTGTTAAGACTAAAGCAATATTGATACCTTCATTTTCATTAAACAAAACAAAAAAAAAGAATAGGAGGCGCGTAAATAACAATCAATAGATTTTGAAAGACAATCTTTCTCTGCAGTTCTCAATAGCAAGCGTGGAGCGGGTCTGAGAGACGCAGGGATGATGCAGGCCTAGGAACCGTAATATTGCATTCAGAATTGATCTTTAAATAACAATCTGTTGGTGACTGTCACTCGCGGTGTGGTTGGAGGCAGATGTGGTATTTTCACTTGCAGCTGCTAAGAAAGGGGTTTGGAGGGCTGGGGGATGGGACCTTTCTCTCTCTCCCTCTCTCTCTCTCTTTTTTTTTTTCCTGAAGCCTTGAGCTGTTACCTTGGGAGCAAAGGGTGGGGGTGGGGAGAGCCGTCATATTGGAAATCAAATCTAGGTAAAGGAGCATTTTCAGATTGCATTGCGTACCCCAAGCCAGGCCAGGGTGTGCTAGCGAGCGAGCCATGGGGAGGCAGAAAATGGAGGACCACATCCTGAGGCGGGGGGGGGGGGGGGAGGTGGGATCCTATTTTAGAGGGACAAGGGGAAGCCGAACCTCAATAACGCCCTCCATTCCTCAATGAACAAGTGAGCAAACAAAAGGCACCTTTTCGGTCCCCGGGGTGGTGAGGAGCTGAAGCCTGCCTCCCTTTCACACCCCGAGGAGAAGGCTAAGCCTCCGAACCCGAAGCGGAGGCTCGGGGCCGGTGGCGGCTGCAGTGCAGTGCCCAAGCCTCAGAGGAGGTAACCCGAGCCTCATGGCTCCCTCTCTCTGGAGCTTTCCTTTTCCTCCATCTCTGCGCGTTGCAGCCCGGTTGCCATTTTTGCGTGCGGTAAGGAGCAGGGAGGCCTGGGTAGCTGAGGCGCCTTCCCCTCCTGATTTTTAATTAAAAGCTAGGAGAGAGCAGGGTCTGTAGAGACCCTGGCAGTGAGGGGGGGACACCATCCCCCCGCCATCACTGGGAGCAGAAGAGGGAGCAGAGGGGATGCGCGAGGGGCCCTTCGCTGCGTCCCTCTGAGGAGGGTGGCAGGGAGGAGCGGTGCCCGGCTGGAGCCACCCCGCTGCAGGCAGCATGGAGCCCACCGGGCACTGGGGACAAGGGGCAGCCATGGCTTTAGGCCGGGCTGTAAGATGGCCTCTCTGAGGCCCGAGCCCGCCTTGTTTGGCAGTGCAGAGCTCCTGGGGGGAGCACACATGGAGCTACGCGTCCATGTGAAGCCCTGACCTTACAGACCGAGTGGTGGCACCGCTTGGAAACCTCCCCTGGGCAGGGGGGATTCGAGGCGTGCGATGCAGGGCAAGGCCTGGGTGGTGACAAGGACTGAGTTCCACTCGCCAGGGGCCACTATCCGAGTCCTGCTCATGGCCACTGGGGCCACTGCAGGCCCTCCACCGAGCTCAGGCTGCCAAAGGCAGCCCTGGGGGCGTGGGGGGCGAGGACTGGGGTCCCCTGCAGATCTGGGCCTGGGATGGAGGTTACACATTCCAAGCCCTTCCTTCCCCACTCGCTCTTTCTCTCTCTCTTTTTTTTTTTTTTTTAACCCTGCCTGGCTGAGGAATGTAACAGCGAAAAAAAAAAAAAAGCACTGGAGGAAAGCAAAAAAAAAAAAAAAAAAAAGCGGGGGGATTCGGAAGCAAAGGCCCCTTCAGGAGTCTGTATTTGTGCAAGGGAAACCATTTGCATGTGTGTGGAGATGCCAGAGTTTGTCTCCAGTTGGGTCGGAGGGGGAGGGCGCGGGAGGAATGCGGGGAATCAGGTCGGGCTGCGGGGGGAAGGGCTCCGGCAGAGCCTCCATCCTGTTGTTGCATAAACTTGTTAAAAGAACCCCTCCTCTGTGGAGGCAGCACACATAGGGTATTAGTGTGGTGGAGGAGGCCAGACCTGCGCCCTGGCTACACAACCAATTGGAGCGGAAAGTGAAATCAGATGGTTTAAGTTTTCAGAGGGATTTTTTTTTTTTTTTTTTTTTTTTTTTTTTGCAGGGGGACTTTTTGAGTCATTGCATTGAGTGCTCGAGCCCTGTTAAGGTCGCTCCCGCTCTCGCTGCTCTTGGGTGGTTTGGGGACCGGGGCTGGGGGGCGTGCAGGAGGTGCCCGCTCCCCTCCTGCGGGGCCTTGCGGGGAGCACAGCCCTGGGCGAGGCGGTGAGGGCACTGAGGGCTGCCCCGAGCCCTGTGGGGCTCCCGATGGGGTGGCAGGCTCCGAGGTCAGCCCCACACACACGTCTCCACCAGCTGAGGCTGCTGGCAGATGCCCCGCTCACCCCGCTGTGTGCACAGGGCTGTGAGTGGGCCCGGCCCTCCCCAGGTGATAGGATTTAGCCCTATTTTGCTCCTGCTTTCAGTACCACAAGTCTTTTTTTTTTTTTTTTTTTTTTCCATCAGACAGCAGAGCACTGGTAAACACCACGCAGAAAAGCCGTATTGTGGGGTTACAAAGTCTAGGCTGTTTAAGGAGCTCTGTCATTCCTTTTAATGGAGCTCACTGACGCAGATCTGGCTTCTGCCAGCCGAGGAAATGTTGCTGCTGAGAAAAGGGTTATTGAAACCCACAAACTAAATATTATAAGCAAGAATCAAACGGCGGGACATTCTGGTGTGTAATCCCTCCTGATTGCAGGCGGAGGGAGGGGGGACATGTTGATAAGTGGCTGTGGGTGACAGAGGCCCCCGGCCTGGTGGGTGAAACGGGCTGGGGAAGGCAGCGTCTGCGGGGAGCACTGCCAGCACGGCCTCTCCGGAGGCTCACACCTGGACAGGTTGACTCTTGCATGGAAGCAAGAATCCCCTTTTTCTCTGGACGGATTTGTAGTAACTTGCAAGATAGACTTAAGGAGCCAGGACTGGAATGCTAAGAATTTTCTCTTTCAGAAAAAAAAAAGGGGGGGGGGGAGAGAATTAAAAAGGCAACACTTCCCAGTTTTAAAACAATGATACAATTACTAAAGAGGTTGGAAAACTCTAAATCAACCCTCAGCCTACAGCTGTTTCCAAAGTGTTTGCTCTGACCTTTGGTAATAGTGTCAATTTTGCTGCAGAAAATATATTGTGGACTATATAATGTATTTAATTGCAAGATGGCTTTTAAATGGTCTCCTTTCCCCAGGCTAGCGAAATGGCTGTGACCAGGGAAACGAGGCTGGACTGAAGCTTTGTTGTCCTGCCACGTTTTGTGAGGTTGCAACCGAGATGAACGTTTTTAAAACACTCTTGCCCGAAGTGGCACCTTTAACCACAAGGGAAAACAAACAAACAAACAGCAGTGAAGGGAAGGGGAAATGGCTCCCTAAACTACACCAAAGAGGATGAGGTCTGATCTCACATGGAGCGGGAGGCCTCTGAGCTCCAGAGAGGCTGCTCACTACTTTATATTTATCCTCAGGCTTCATCATTGGGACACTTCAGTCTCACCGATGCTTTCTGCTAACATCAGAAAAAGGGGGCTTAATCATCCAGCAATGACTCCACTACAGTTAGAGATTTCCCCCCCCAACACTACCAAAAAAAAAAAAAAGCTTTGATTATTGAGCAACATGTAAAGCGTTATTTCCATACTAGTCTGGGTGACATTTCCATTTAGTTTCTATAACTGTGATTAAAGGCGAGAGAGGTTTCTAAACATATCTAGAGATGCTGAGCCTCCTGGAGTATAAATAGCATGCATTTCATAATCTCGTGTTTAAACGTTTATTTTAAAATAACCCCCATATACATTCCAGAGAAGTCTCCCTGCTATAGGGCATAGATTGACCCTGGCTTTGCACATATTGTTTGCAAACTGGGGAAATACTATTGGGTATTTGAAGCCGCCTTTATTTTTCCTGTCTTGTTAAAAAAGAAAAAAGGGGGGGAAGTGTGGGGAGTCCTGTGCCAGTGCACCACTTGGAGATAAGGAAATTCTTGAGACACGTCTAGGCTCTCAGTGCAGATCCAGAAGCATAAAGGCATAGTATCTTAATTGCCTTTGCTTGGACTTTAACTCGTGGCTGACGTCTCTAATTACATCCCTTACTCCTTCCTGCCAGTTGTAGCTTCTGCAACTGCTGAAATTCTTAAGTTGTGTAGAAATTGTCAAGCCGTGCTTTCCCCCCACCACTACTGGTGCATTAGCAACGTCACTCGATGTGTGAATTGTATGTTTCGACTGTACGCTCACCAGTGGGCTTGTCTTTGGGCCACTGGAGAAGTTAAATTGTGTGTGTTAAGCATAAGTCTTGTTTGAAATAACATCGAGGCTGAAGAGTGGAAAACACATGGTAAACATAAGCAAAATAGAGACTGGACGGGAGTAGATGGAAAGGTAAGGCAGAGCCTAGCTGCATTTTTTTTTGTTCTCAGTCCAACTGGATGTCTAGGTTGCAGGGATTGCTGAGAAGCAGAGTGGCAGGGTTAAACGTGAGGGTTTGCCAAGGTAACAAGAATACCAAAGTTTGATAAAAACTCATTCTGAGCTGCTTACAGCAATCTCTGTGAACATGGCCTCTTAATTAGCGTGAGCAAAGGTTAATACAAATAAATAACGTGGAAGAAAGATTCCTGTTTGCTTCCAACAAGCATCACAAAGGACAGGGATAGGGAGGGGTTGGGGGAGACTGGAGATTTTGTTTATCAGTCCATTAGAAAAACAAACAATTAATGGAGCTTCCCCTGTTCTCTTTTCTTTGGCATGTCCTCGGTTTTCAGCTGCTTTGGGCAAGTCAGGCAACATCAAAGGGGATGCAGGGCTGCCTCACACCAGCATGCCAAACGCCAGGGATCTCTAATGGCAAAAACCAGATCAATGTGGTATGCATAAATTAGCCAGGAATCCATGAATTAGGGGATTGTCTCTCCATTACACTCTTATTTAATCCACTGGAAAGCAGGCTGAGGAAAGAGAAGCTTAAAGTGTCAAAATCATGAACTGGTTTGGGATGGCCTGGGAATGAAGTTTCCTTCATCTTCCTCTGGACTCTCAAGTGTTCCTACGTGAGGAAGGTGCTGGGGCAGGTTCACTGGGAGCAGGATTGCAGAGGAAGAGCCTTGCTGGCAAAGCAGCCCCAAAGCTGGAGGTGCCTCAGCCCCTCCCTGGGGCCGCTGCTGTGCTCAGCCCCAGCTGAAGATCGCGCCTTCCAGCCTAGGACAGAAAAGGTGCCAGGGAGGGGGCAGGAGGAGAACAAGCTGAACAAAACCAGCTAGGGCACAGCACGCGTGCGTCTCCAAACAGCGTCTGATCTGTGTGCGTTAACGTGAAGTCAGTGCTGGAGAGCCAGCCCTGCAGATCCTGTTTCGCTTTCTAATTTTTGGTGTGTACTTAATCCCGTGATTTCCAATGAAGGGAGGGATATTTTCAAACACTGGGCTCTCCAAGTAGGACAGCCCTGGAAAGGAAGTTCTCCGAGGGCTCGATGCCTATTACTAAGAGGTTCAAAATACAACTATCAATTAACCAAATAAATAGTGCTTCCCAGCCCCTACCAGCTCAGGCAGCTAATTGACTGAGTTTATTAATAAAGGAGAAATTCACACGCAAGAAGAAGGTGAGAACTGGGGACAGAGGTACAGAAACCTGGGTAAAATCCACACTGGTGTTACAGACGTCCTGGGAGAAAGGGACGGTGTCCCCAAACCGATTCTGTGGGGCCAGAGGTTTACTGCTGCTGCACCCCAGCCTCCCAGGAGCACAGGGTGCTGCGATGCACAGGGCAGTGCGCTGCTTTCTAACTTTTTACCCCTTCCCCATTTGCAGGCATGGAATGAAGCTCCCTCCAGTCACCTGCCGCAAGACACATTGTCCAGCTTCCTAACCTTAAGGATGAGACCCTATCAATATTGCCTCTGCTTTTGTGCTCAGGGTAGTAGTGCAATATTGCTTATAGGGTCTTTTCTTTTGGGGGTATTCTTCACGGAGAGAAGACAGCCACAGCAGGAAAAACTAATCCTATGTGCCCATCGAGTTAAGGGGAAAGTTGTGAAATATCGAGCCTTGTTAGATAGGCAAGTAATGGTGCGGAGACGTTACTTGTGACAAATAATTGTGCTATTGTGGTGACTCAGGTCCTGAGTAATGGGTGTATTTTCGATGCTATCGCACAGGATTCAAAATGGCCTTGTGTTTAAAAAGCTCACACGGTGACTGAAACTGGAGAAACCCATCGTGTCTCCATTTTAAATAGCACGAGTCCCGAGAGGTTTGAAGGGTGCCTATTTTACATCACGCTGTAAACACCCACCGAGGGATGGGAGGAGATACATAGCCACACTTGCTGTTTCCGCGCCTGATCCCAGCCCGAAAACCAGCGCTGTGCGAAGCAGGGCGCCGCACAAAGGGGCCGGGGCTCTGTTCCCGCTGACCTCCCCGCGGCAAAGCTCTCGCCTCTGCCCGGCGAGCGTGGCCGGGCCCGCGGCTCGCAGCGGGGTCGGGCGGTGGAGCGGGGCTGGGCACGGCCCCCGGCCCTTCCCCAGAGCCGTTCCCGGAGGTACGTGGGAAAGGAGCAAGGGACGGGGGCGTTAAATCTCTCCGCTTTGTGAGGGATCAGCTGGGGGCTGACAGCAGCCGGGATGGCCGAGTGGGTGGCCCTGCCTTCCATTTCAGGTGGTCCCCGCGGTCCCTTTCGGGACCTCTGGGGCCCAGGGAAAGGGGTGGTGGGAGGGGACTTTGGGGCCAGAGCGGGGCTCGGCGGAGCAGCCGCTGCCTCTGCGGGGCTTCACAAGCCGCTCCCAGGGCGGTGTGGGGCTGCTACAGCACAGCCAGGCTCGGGGTGCTGCCGGGGCTGCACTCGCTGCTTGGGGCTTCCCCCCCTCAAACACCCACCCAGCATCGCTGCGGGGGGAGGCAGCCAGCTCGGGGACAAAGCCAGGAAATTCCTCCCCCCCCCCTCCACCCCTAAACCCAGGCTCTCCCTCTGTGCCCCCAGCCCAGCAGCAGGGCCAGCGCTGGGACCACCGGGCGGGCTGCCCCTCTTTCCCTGTTGCACTACTGTCACGGTCGCAGCGAGCAGTGCAATAATGAAAGGGCGTCAGTGCGCCGGGGAGCGGCGAGAGCCGGGGCCGAGCTGGTGACAGCGAGCAGGGCCGGGCCCCCCACCCAAGAGCTGTCTGACAGGGGGCCGGGGGGAGCCGGGATCAAGACCCATGGCCAGGGGGAGCTGGGCACAGGGGCAGGGCGAGGTGAGTGGCCCCGCACAAATAAAGTGACTTCCCATGTCCCTGTCGCTGCCTTTTCTTCCTCGGGGGGGTTTCTTGCAGGTCACCAGCCTCCCCAGCAGTGGCGCACAGATGCAGAGCCCCCGCAACGTGGTTTTGTGGGGCCGGCCAGGCCTGTGCTTTGTGGGGAGAGGCCGAAGGCACTAATAGGACCGGGGGTCTTCCTGCCCTGTGGAGCCCGAGAAGCAGGCGGGAGGCATGCCCTGGTGCTGGGCTCAGCGGTGGGGTGGGAGGGAAGGGGCTGCAGTAAGGGAGAGCAGATCGGTGCTCTGCAGCTGGGAAGGCCAGGAAATAGCCCCGCGATTATTAGTGGCCATGGCGAAATGGATCCTTCTATAAAAGAGGGCCGGGGAGGGTTATTTCCTTTAGCAAAGGACCTTTCCACTCTGGCCTTTTGAACCCGTGCTTCTCCCTGGCACTGTTTCTGCTTCATCATGACTTTTTGCAGAGGAAGGTGAGTGCAGAAAGCGGACCGGCTCGAGGCGAGGGCTGCAATCTAATCCTGATGAAAAGGCTTTTACAGCCTATGCTTCATTTCCTATTTCTTTTGGATTCTCTCTTCCGCCTCTCACGTGCACAAGCAGATAGAAAAGCCGAATCCTTCCCTGCAGTCTCTCTCCCGGGGAAGAGTCAGCCCCCTCCCCAGCTTCACCTTCAGGCTGTGCACACACAAAATGGCTGCAGCAGCCTGTGGGTGGGCATGGAGAGCTCAGGAAGCCGCTTTTCTTTTTCCCACCCTGCCTGCCCAGGAAGCCCTTCTGCTTTTATTTTCTGTGGCATTTCGCTCTCGCATAGCTCTGTGCAAATCCAAGGGGGTCTCCTATGTGTAAGCTATGCATGGAATGGGAGCTGGGGAGGGAAACGGCCAGTTTGCATGAGAAGGGGACCTGTCGGGCCCCAGTGTTTATTTTTTTGCTGACCTTCTGGGGATATGGTCAGTGAGAGCTGTGACAGCTGCTGGAAGCGGCAGGGGCTTTGAAGATTGTGAAGGTTGTGACCTCGAGGCCCCTTTCCTCTCTCTGTCCCAGGAGCTGCTGAGTCAATCAGGGAAAAGGGGAGGTGAAACGGGGGCTGCTCTTTAGCCATTTTTCAATCGGTGAATGAAACAGGAAAGGACAAATGCAAGAAGAAAAAAGAGCGATTACTTCCACTTTGGTGCATTACTGAGAAGGGGGGATATCTCTTTGGCAAAAGATTATAACAATAATGGGAAACCACTGTGCTCCTGAGATCCAGCACCTTGAATAAAGGGGTTGACTGGGCAAGGAGCTGATGGCAGATCAATAACGCTAAATTAGGGGGAAAGCCTACAAACTCCTCATGGTTCAAAGCAGGAGGAAATCCACCTCTCATTTCCACCTGATACCAGCTCTAGATGTAGGGGGGGAACCCGGGTACCACTATCCTCCACCCCCTCCTGGACTTCACAGGACCACGGCTTCACCTTCGCTGAGCTCAGCTGAACGCTGTGGCTGTTGTAGGAGCCACTGAGGAGGGCTGCACCGCACACGCCAAAATAAAGGGACAAAGTACATTGTGCTGCATCCCTGGGGTGTGCATGCTTTCTAAGAGCATGGGCTTGCTTAGAAATCCACGCTCCGGGCAGCCCACGAGAGGGCTCTCAGCCCCCGAGTCCTCTCTAAGCCCAGAAAGTGGGGTTTAAGTCTTTTTCTCTTTCTGGATAATATGATCCTATGGATCTATCCTTTAAAATAGTAATCAGAACAGCAAACACAGCGCCTGGCTTCGGTTGACCAATACACAACAGAGGCAAAGAAGGCAAACAGCAGGCTTTTCAGTTAGTTTACACAGGGGGCACTTAAATACTGTATTGGTTACATAATACCATTTGGGGGTTGGGGTTTTACACATTCTTCTACTAAATATATCTGTGAGATTTGTTTTAAAGTGATCAACATAAATCCAGCCACAGCTTTAAGGGGGAAAATTCCTGTGATTAGACTTAATACCACTAGGTAGCTCACAGTGTATTTACTGAAAACCAACACACAATAGATTTCCCCCCCCCCCCAGCCTCGCACTTTGCTGCAGTGGAGGGTGTTGCTCTCCTCTAGAAGGGCTGCCATAGACAGCCACTTCCCCGCAGGAAGCACAGGCTGCTGGTTTTAGGGCCATATCCTGCTACTGTTCCACATCCAGCCCTCAGGATTCATCCCAGCGCGGGCTGAAGGCAGGATATGGTCTGGCAATCTTGACAAACTAAGTGCTAAGCGAGAGGGCGAGGCATATAAAAAATAAATAAATATCTGGGAGCCTTCTTGGCTGCGATTGATTATAAAAGCACAATTCACTGTGAACTCCTCCTGAGAATCCCATTCACATGGGACACCTGAAGGTATTTTCTCTTCCTGATGAGCCTTCCAGTAGGCATCCTGTTCCCATCCAAAGGGAGTAGCAGGTGGCCAAACTGCCCCACTGGAGGCTTGACAATGGCATTAGCTGAAGCCTGGCTCAATCTGTACACAACTCCTCAGGCTCCAGCTAAGCCCTTCCTGGGAACAGCAAGCGTCCCCGGGCAAGGCCCGGATCTAGCAGCCCCGTGTCCTTGCGAGGCACCCTCTGCTCAGAAGTGAACAGATGGGAAGAAGCGTCTCAAAGCAGCACAGCTTTAAAACCGTGCTCTTCTCTTCAGCGTGTTGTCACCAGCACCTCCGCGGGCAGAGATCTCTGCCATAAGGAGCGAGCAGAACGGCGGGTGGGTGGCTAATTGAGAAGGGGAGTTCCTCGGGGGCAAACCCGAAGTCTTTGCGGGTGCACAGAACAAGGTACACTGCCTGCACTCAGCACCAAACTCCAGCTCAGTACAAATCCTGCTTGCTGGCTCACCTGGGATGTGGGTGCGCCTGGTCCTGTAAACCTCCTCAGGCACACAGTGACCGGGTGGTGGCAATAAGCTGCTGTGCACGGTATAAACTCAAACCTAACAGTCTGCAGGGGTGTAATAAGGCAGTTACCTTAAAAGTCACCCTGCTACTACTACACCAAATGGCAGACCTCTACCTCCCTCAAAAACTGATCTGCTGAGAAGCACCACCTTTGCCAGGAGCTGCTACTTTACCAGCAGTTTATCCAGTTACAACCAGTAGGGAGTGACACTGGGTACAAAGGCACACTGCGCTAGAAGACAAACTCTGCTTTGTCCCTCTGTGAATCCCCATCACATTTCAGGATAAGTTTGGGTTGACAACAGCTGGTTTTACACAACCCACCAGCAATTCTGTTGCTTAATTTTCCCTTTACAGCAGTTACACCTTTAACATGATCTAAATAATTTAAAGAGGGAGGAAGAAAAAAAAAAAAAAAAAAGGAAAGAAACAAAAGGCAGACTCTGCCCTGAGAAAAGCAGAAAATGAAAGACTTCCAGACCTGAAGGAAATGGGGATCTCTCAACAGCCCTGGAGAAGCAGGGGAGGCCACCTCATCTGTAAGCTAAGAGACACCGAGCACCAGTAAAGGATTCCTCACTGCCAGCCCCCCACACCCTGACACCAAGCAATTCATTTAGGGCATTTATAGCAGCGTTTGGAGCAAGTCAGAGGGCAGTTTTGGCGTTCCCCTGTTGAATCTCTGGTCAAATTCTCTGATCAAAATCAACTTCTCCTTCCCCTCTTCACACACAGACATCCACCCCACTAAACTACAGAAAGGTGAACGCTTGAAAAAAAAAGAAAAAAACAACAACAAAAAAAAACAAACCGAACCAACACAAAAAAGAACCCCCCCCCAAAACCACTACAGACACACCAGCAGCAGGAGAGCTTTTAAATCGGGACGCGAGGCAGGTAGGGGTGGAAACCGGGTTAATCCCGAACCGGGGCTCCCGCACCGCTTTCTGTTATCCTGTACGAGGCAGCACCGGAGCCCCGTGCAGGTGGGGCGCAGCCAAACCCCGCAGCATCCCCGCCGGCTGCCGCGGAGCCCCGCAGACCGCGGGGGGAGCGCAGAAAAGGGGCTCCTGTGGCTCTCGAAAGGAGCCCGCTGCCAGCCGGCCCCGGCGCTGGGTTCCTGCGGTGTTGCCCTAAGGGAAGGCGGCCAAGGCCGGGGACGGGGCGGTGCGGGGGGAGCTCCGGCCAAAGCCCCTCCTTGAGCGGTTTTGGTTCACCCGGGGGCACGCAATAAAACGGGTGTAGGGAAGAGAGACCGCTCGCCAGGCGGTGCTGAGGCTAGGCACTGCCAGGCTTCCAGGCATCCCTGCCCCAAACATCCCCGAAACCCTCGCACATCCCTCCCTGCCCCTACGCTCCTGAACGCTAAACCCAGCGGGGCGTATCTGTTGGACCACCAGAGAGCAGAAAATCCGTTCTAGCGTCAAGGTGCCTTTCTGGCAAGAGTGGGCAACTTTCCTAGGGAGAAGGGCACTAGAAAGCAGCCCAGAAGGAGCGCAGTCGATTCTCATCATTAATTTTCCTCCCCAAACGCCCTTTAACGCAGCGCCCCGCTCAGCACCAGCCCCCCCAGCGCGGCCGGGCAGCATCCCGGCCCGCAGCCGTCGGAAGCGCCGCGGCCGGGGCTCGGCGGCGGGGGCTCAGCCAGGGGGGGTAGGGAAGGGCTGGGGACACGGAGCTCCCCCCGCCCGGCCCCCTCCAGGTCCCTGCTGAGCCCCACCGGGCTCAGAAAGCCTCTCTCCCCGGGGTACGTTAGGAACACTTGTTCTCCACCCCTAAAAGCCGCACGGGGAAGCTTCACGCCTCGGGGAGGGTCGGGTTTTCCTCCTTTTTCCCCCTTGCCCAGAAGCCCTGCAGGGGCTGCTGCCCGGTGAAGGCAGCTCCCCAAGGGCCGACCCGAGGCGCTTTCCCCCCCCAGGGGCTCGCAGCCCGGTGCCGGGGCACTGCTGGGACCTTTAAGCAAGGTCTCAGCTAACCGCAGCGAACAGCCTCCCGTCTCACAGGGAAACCCGCGGCCCCGCAGGATGCAGGTAGATTTTAACATTTTACCCCAGAGACTGGATTTGAAGCTCGACTGGGAGACCCCCTCCCCGCCCTGCTTCTTTTGTACGCGGTGCACCACAAACGGGCGTTTTGCTGCTCAGCTTTAGGGAAAATTGCCCCCGGCTCGCCAGGAATCGCCTCCGCACCCGCACCCAGGGAGGGCAGAGTTAATGCACGCAGCAGGATGATTTCTGCAAGAGAGACAGCAGATGGTGCTCCCTCGGGAGCAATTTCGGGAGGAGCCTCGCTTTCTGCGCTTCCCAGTTTCTGCTCGAGCCGCGCAGGTTTGACGCTGCAGCAGCCTTTTGGCGACAGTCACCCGGCAGCCGTGTACAAAAAGCTGCTGGCACAAACCAAGAATCCGTCCTCCTTGAGCAGGAGGGGAAGATACAAGCGGAGCAGGTCGGCTGTTACACGAGTGCCTCGCCACTTGGCACCCCGCACCCCGGGAATCCTCCGCATCTAACCCAGTAACCGCGCCAGCCCAGTTTGGAACAAGCTGGGAACTGCTGGAAGCTCGCTACGGGGCGCTCCCCCGCAGTGCCAGCAGCCGGACAGGGCTGGAAACCCTCTCTGAAGCCCTCCAGCAGCAGCGGAACCCTTCAGGTGCGAGGTGAGGGCTGGGGGCGCCTGGCAGCGCCCCCCCGGGGGCTCCGGCCGGTTCTGTCGGGCGGGCACCGGCGGGGCGGAGGAGGGAGCCGGGCTTTGCCAGCAGGCAGGAGCCGAGGGGGGGGGACACTGGGACCTCCGGCCACCCCCCGAGGATGGCGGTGACGGGGCTGGCTCCAAGCGCTGCCGCCCAGGCTCGCAGGAGGCTCCCGATGAAGAGCGGCTTCGCGCTGGGTGCGGGGGAATAGCGGCGGGTGGCTGATGCTGGGAGAACACTGCCAGGGAGAGGCACAGAGGGAAGAAAAAAGGAAAGCAAACCAAAACCCTACGTCCACCTGGCGAACGAGCCCCGGCTGCCCTCCTACCGCCGCCGGGCCCCGCACAGCACCGGGCTGGCTCCGGGGGGGGAGAGCATCGCTGCTGCCGGGAGCCGGGGCTGGCACGGGAGCGCTCCAGCTTCGGCTTTTGCTTTCGGAAGCTCGGAAAGACGCCGCGGGATTGCTGCATGCACCCAGGGAGCTCTGTTCCCCTCCTTTCAGCCCCCCTACACCGAAACCAGCACCTCCTTTTATTACGCAGATAACTGCCCTGAACCTCTACCTTAAGCAAGCGGACCTCACCCTTGGCCGCACTCCACGGGCAGCCAGAAACGCCCGGCGCATCCATCCCCTGCCAGCCTGCGCCCCCCGCTCGCTTCCCTCCCACGCCAGCCAGGCACGGCTGAGGGCAGCGACCCCCGGGGGCGGCAGGGACCACCAGTGCCCCCCCCGGCCCCGACCGTGCCGCGGGTGCGGGCTCCGAGCCCCCGCTGCCTTTGCCCGGAGCCGGAGAGCCCGGCACCGGCGGGGCAGCAGCGCTCGCTAGCGGCAGCTCGCGTCCCGCAGCCTCTTGCGGCTCTCGCAAGGCTTTAGGGCTTTAAAAAGTGGTAAGAGAGAAGACCCAGGACCTACCCGACCCTTTCTTTCCCCCCCAGGCACAAGCACCCTGCTCGCGTGCACGCCCCCCGAGTGTAGGTAATTTAAAGCGCTGTTTCCCACGCAGGACGGAGCAGTCACCTGGATTCTGGTGTCGAGAACAAACCCTGAAGTGTATAAAGGATCCTACGGGTCTCCATGGGGTGCCTACAGACCCAGGAACCAGTGGAAGGTATTGGAGGAAAGTAACAACATCAAATACCGATGATTAAGCATCACTGGAACAGGGGTTGGTCATTTTTTTCCCCTTCTTTCAACTTTTTTTTTTTTTTTAAATGATTTAACTTAATAAGAACAGATATACCCACTTAGCATTCCCAAACGTAATGGAATAAAAATGCTGGTTTATCTTTAGCTTTGTCATTCAGAATTAAAGATCATCCCACAGTAAGTCTCTTCTGGCAATTTAAAGCAGTGAAAGCAGTAACAGACCTCATCTATACTGACAAAGAAGGCAAAGTATGTGGCAAGTGTCTGTATGCTGAGCAGTTAGACAAACCTTTAAAAAAAAACTGCAGGAAATAAGAGAGTAAGAGTGTTTGCACTCACAAGTTTCCCTATCCCCATATGAACATGCCTCCACAACTGCGCCATCCCACACTGAATTAGGTATGGTCTATATACACGTTTACATGAAATAGATGCAGCATTTGGCAGAATTTTCAAAGTAGAGAACTTGAAGCAGATTTCTTTCGGCAAATATTCCCACTGAGAACAATTATGAAGATCCCTCTAATGCTTTTCCCCCCCAAAGCTTTTCTAGCTTGTTAAAGGCAGCGTAACACTGGCACACCTTCTCTCAGAGCTCCTGTAACAGCATAATGAGCAACAAATTGCAGAGCACCTACCAGTTGTTTGAAAGCACTACATTCTGCTAGCATCAGCAACCAAAACATGTAGTTTTTACTTAGCCTTAGAGCGCACACAGAGCTTTGGAAGGAGGTACTATAGAGCTTACATTGCCACAGTAGAAAATAACAAAGGGAAAGAAGAGAAAGCAGCAAAACAGTGTTTCAAACTTTCATATCTATATCTGAGTATTTCACGTTTTACTCAAAGTCCCAACATCTTTAGGCAGATAAATTACACGGAAAACAAGCAAAACCAAAATCCAATAAAAGAATCTTCAGTTTCTGAAGTCTCTAGTCCTCAGCTGTGGAGGATGAACTGAAAACTTGAATTCTAAGCAGTCAGAGTAAATAAAAACACTTGAAAGAGATTCTGAAGTCTCAGTAATGCAGTTTAAAGCATAAAAGACAACATTAAACAGATACTAATGGAGGTCTTGTAAGTCTAGGAGTTATATAAAAAGGGAAGCACATTAGCAGTTGTACAAGCCATCATTTTTTACAGCTACGAACCTCTGCATTTCCTACATTAACTCATGACTTTTATAGTCTGCATTTAGCACATTACCAACGACAACAGTTATCTCAGCATTCCAATAGGCTTTTCCAAACTAAGGTACTTCAACTCGAGTTGTTTAACAGCATAACTTCTGTAGTGAAAAGAAGCAAAACAAACAGAGCTACCTGGCACACAGACTGATGTGAGCCACACAGACCTACCCTTTCTCAGCTAAACCAGTATTCCATAAGTGCACCAACAAACACATATTTAACTCTTACTGACAGAGAACTCATTGCCAAATTTATTTTTTCCTTATGTAAATGCAACACCTGCAATCCTTAAATAGCAACATTCAACTAAGATTCATAAGAAAACAAAATAATCTTACCTTATTTGAAGAATAATCAGGCATTGCAGAATGACAGCTACAGAGGAGTCTTGTTTTGTAGGATGTGAAGGGTCTTCACTAGTATCAAAAACCCTTAACTAAAAACTGGAGCTAGCCTGTGAAGCACCACTGCATAAGGCACTAGATAAGAAGCAGACAAGTGTAGGTACAGCTAAAGTCTAAATGAAACTGCGTTGGTGTGTTGCACCTCATCAACACAACTCTCTAACACAGCACCACATGACTGACAATTTAAAAGCAGCAAATCACTTTCCTGCTTCTTTAACTGATTGACTAATTCAAGACATAATTAGCAAGCTGTTTACACATGGAAACAAAACCACCTGGGTTTTCTGACTTTTCATACTCATTTAGCGAGCTTTCCTGTTTAAAACCAATAGAAAATGTATGGTACTTCAAATTTTAATCAGTGGTTCCAGCATCACTGTATAACACATACTCAAGAGTTATTTTTTTCATAAAAATAAAACACAGGAACACAGAAATTCATGCCTTATTCATAGTAGATTCCTTGCCAGCACTCTATAGCATACCTCTCTGATAAAAATCTAGAACCAAACCATTTCTAAAATTAATTCTTTTTCTGGATTCACACAAAAGAACTCCACGTGGGTATAAGTCCCACTATTTATTCATCTGGATTCTCATACTGGTCTTGCGGTGACATGCAAGTACAATATAAATCAAATTCCTTCACATCAGTTTACAAAATTATAGTATTAATTAAATGAGAGTAGCTTCGTGCACCAGTTCTTAGAGCAAGACAGTCTTACCATTTGATAATTAGCAGTATCACCATTGCCAGAAAACCTGAACTTCTTGGGAGAAAGGAAACAAAAACTTTTGTCTTCTTATGCCAATATATATAACATTTTCAACTCTTTCATACATATACAACAGAACTCAAGAAAGACATTGGAGGCAATTTTCAGACAGGCTGTGATATTTTTCTGGAAGGCTGAGTAGCTGACTTCAAACCGTTCAAAAGATACTACATTCCAAGCATTATATTCCCTTTCTAGACTTACTCCAACTCCTCCGAAATAACATTCTCCCCATTAACAAGTAGAAGGAAGTTTCCAAATATTTAATGATAATTGGAAAAAGATTACAAAATACAAAGTTTTGCTGTATTTGGGACTACAGAAATGTATTACTTGTTTTTTTTTCCATTTCCTTTGAATTTGAGAAAAAGTAACAACCAAAACAAACAATAGTGAAAACTAACAGACGTATGAACTAGTTTCACCAAATAAGCTTGAAAATTTAGAAGGGATTTATTAAATAAATCTCAGTGTCTGAACCCGGCAGATGTCATTCCCCACAGAAGTGCTGCATTCCTAGAGTGAACTAATGCCCTTCAGTAACACAGAAAGTCAGTCACTTAGGCAAGGCAGGACTTGTAAGAGACCAAGGGTTAGCATCTCCGAACATTGGAGTAAGCTGAAGCATTTTGGATCCTCTGTCAATTCAGAGCTCATCGTGTTTTGCAGGGTCCATACTGGGTTTGATGAAGACTCCTTCCATTGCTTTCCAATAGTTGTGGTGATTAGCGGTGGGCATGCCATGAACTTCCCGCTGGCCTCTAATTGGATGGCCATATTGCTCCCCCGTTATCGAAAGGAACACCTCAGTTCCTACGTGCTTGAAGCGCACCGCATCCTCCCGCTCCCAGTGTGTCCCACTGCATTGCACAATCCATATATCGAGGTCATCGCCTTCACCATCATCACCAAAGGCACTTACTTCCTGTTAGAGACACAAACTTCCTGAAGTGAAAATGTAAGCAAACACTCAACGCGCACACAGAAATATCAGCCACGGAGCCAGCAGAGTTTAAAGGCAGGGATGGAGAGGAAAGACAAATATGATCAATTGCTTTGTCAACAGCGGTCAAATCCTGAAGCAGTAACTTTCTCACACTACAATCTGAAGATAAGATGCCAACAAACTCCAATGCACAATCTGAGCAAAGAGCCACCAAACCCCAACATATATTAGAAATTAAAGAGGACTTGAGCACAGAGATCAGAACAATCCTTCTGACAAAAATAAAATAATCAAAAGAAACACTAATGCTGATACAAATTTTCTCCACTAAAACAAGTTTGTAACTGTAAATATTTAGCATGACCACTTTCAGAGTTACCACTGCAACAGACTTTTTTCAGCATAATGTGTTTTTAATCACAACATTGCAACAATTTAGCCTAAGTAATTGTATTCCTTTTTTACTTAATGACACCAAGATTACAACTGGGTTAACAACTATTTTGTTTTGCACTCTTACTTCAGACAGACAGTTGAAGGGCTCTTAAAAAAATAATAATAAAAAAAAGATAAAGCAAATGAATTCCTGCTAACACAGAAATTAAAGATCAGATTTCATTACGCACCCCAAAATATTCCAAGTGTTTGCAGAAACACGGTAGGTCTCAGCTCAAACCGTTTAAGACTCACTACAGATTTTAATTCTTAAAAAATCTGATGACTAGAAGTGAATAACAACTTGAAAGTAGAACAGAAATAGTTTGTACCTAGCAAGTTAATCTTTTAGGGTCATGTTATTCAAGTTTATGTAGTCCAAACACTGTTAAAGGCAAGCTATTAATTGAAAAACAAACTTATTTGTTAAGAATATGAAATTAAAGTTTGTGCTCAGAACCACACCATGCTTAGTAAGATAAGTCACAGTACTATCAATCTCAGGGAAGCCATGCAAAATCTCCTTTTGCTTAGAAATTATGCAAGCACATAGCTAATGCAAAGGGAAAACAACAACAACAAAAAAAGACAGTTGCTGAATATTTTTTACATTAATGACAGTGTTAAATTGTTAAATGAATTGTCTAAATTGACAAATGGTGGAAGATTTAAAAAGTCCATCTGTTCTTTAAATAATTCTTCTGATATGTTATTTTTCCATCACTTCTTTTGTTTTGATAAATACGTAAACTAGATATTCCAAACAAAACTGGACCTTATTTTTTCAGCCAACTTCAGACAAATCTGTTTCAAACAGCGTCTGGTCTTTCAACTTAGAATCGAATGGCCTAACTACTTGGCCTAAAGGAAAACTAAAATGACTGCCAATAACCAATAAATTTAGATTTTTATACAGTGAGAAACATTGTTCTAGAAAATTATAAAATGACAAATAAATGTGATTGTGAGATGATTTTTTTTTTCTGGCAAAGTAGGCAAATAAATAAGAATAGAGAACTAAAACAGGGACAGGGAGATGATTGAGACTAATGGATTGGAACTCCAAGAAACTTGGATGCAGAACAGCCTAGCGTCCTAACACTAGATTAGCTGTCTGGTTCTAGACCAGTCTTTATAATGTTCAGGAAGGTGCCCAATCTCCTGGACTGTAAAAGTCCTGAATACTTCAGAACAGTCTTCCCAGTATCAGTGGTGCAGAATAGAGAAACAAATACAGGTTTGTTAAAACTATTCTGGCAAACAAGTACTGGTAAATATTTCTCTTAGAATAACGTATTCAAGTTATTGACAGAGACAAAGATGCAGAGAAGAATCCATCTGGACTCAGCATATCCAGCGATACACTTTCTGGCGGTACACACGCCTGATTCTCCATTTTTCTTGTTTTTGAAGAGAGTTAGTGTCAAAAATCAGCCATGCACTGTTTACGCAAAAGCTTAAGATCTAGAACAACTTACCTGGTTATTGGAGAGCGGTGATGGGAAGTGATGAGTGTGTAAGTTTTTTCCCGTGTTCACATGGGTAAGTCGTATTGCTTGCCCACATTTCACTGGTGTTCCACGTTGGCAACTGCCATCGCTCTTCCCCCGAATCCGCCAGTAACTGTTAGCATCATCTGAAGCTTCAACTCCTGTCACTGACTGCTGCCCGCTTCCTGTTGGAATAGAATTAATGGCAAGAGACTTAACCCACTTCTCCAGTTCAGAAAGTCCTGAAAGAATTGGAGAAATCTGCTTTAATGTTCTCATGCCCTCATATTTAAGAAATGCTTAGTTCTCACAGTCTGTTCACTTACTCTGGTGGGAATGGTACCATACAATACTGCAGATTGAGGCACTTCAACACGCTACATGTTAGCACATGCAAATTGCCAGAGCTCACAGTGAAGTTCTGACTCATGACAAAACTAATAAAAAGCTCTTCAACAAGGCACTCCGCAGCCTCAGTCTTACCAGAGCAGGTGCTCCCCAGAAGGTGCTGCTGAGGCCCCAGACCAGGGCTCTCCTCGAGGACCAGGCAGCACATCAGCACCCCAGGGCCCATGGGGTTCACCTCCAACACCTTCCTGCACCCAGGCCTCGTTGTCCCCCTCTCCCTGCTGGGCTGCCAGGCCTCCAGCCCACCCCACAGCCCCACCTCCGGCCTGCTGCCCCCTCTGCCCCAGCGACACGCACCTCAGAGACCCCCAGCTTCCCTCCCTGCTCCCCCTGCAACCTCCCTGTCCCCTCAGGACCCCCCCGGCCATCTCATTTCCCCTCAGCCCCCCCTCAGGATGCCCCCACCATTTCCCTGACCCCAAACCCCCCCCTCCCCACCACTTCCCCGTCCCCTCAGGACTCCCCCCCTCACCTCCCTTCCCCTCAGGGCCTCCCCCCCCCCCATTCCCCTCAGGATTTCCCCCCCCATCTCCCCCCCCCCCCTTTCCCTTCCCCTCAGCGCCGCCCCCGCCGCTCACCGGAGCCGTACTTGACCTCGTGCGAGTGCAGCCTCACGCTGTGCCGGGTGTTGAGCAGCTTCAGCACCGAGCCGCAGGTAACAGCGCCCGGCGCCGTCTCCCTGCCGCGGCACGGCCCGCGCAGCAGCGCCAGCAGCAGCAGCGGGAGGAGGCGGCGGCCGCCCCGCATCGCGCCTCAGCCCGCCCGGCCCCGCCGCCCACAGCGCTTCCGCACCTCCCTCCCCCCTCCGCCGCCGCCTCAGCCAATCGCCTCCCGCCAGCTCCGCGGCCGCCCAATCGCCGCCCACCTTCCTCTCGGCTTCGGTCTCTCATTGGGTAGCGCCGCGGCGATCTCAAAGCCCGGGGACCCCCGGCACGGGGAGCTGATTGGGCCGAGGGGGAGAGGCGGCCAATCAGAGCGAGCGGCGTGGCGCCTCCCAGGGGAGGACGCGAAGGAGGACTGCGGCGCCGCGGGGTTCCCCGGCCGCTGGGCAGCGCTGACGGGAGCGGGGCGGGGCGGGCGCTGGGTGGCGGCCCCGGGCCCTCAGCGCCTCAGCCCGGGAAAAACGAAGCCGGGTCTGGTCGCCGCCGGGCGGTACGCGCTGCCCGAGGAGCTAACGGAGACATTTAGCGTGTGGTGATTTCCTAGGGTTGCACCTGCCGCGGTTGTCCCTCTGTGAAAGCCTTCCACAGGTTGTCAGGAGCTGCCCTGTACCAAAGGGTTACCACACACGCAGGTTAGCACACGACCCTCACTGGTTTGGAGGCTGCAGGTTGGCAAAGGGCACACAGCCAGTTAGTTTTGCCTCAGAAATCACTCGTTGGGTTGCCCCATGTATCGCATCACAGGCAGCCTGGCGTCAGCCTCAGGTAACGCTCCCAAGAGTACAACAAATTTATCCTTTATCAGGATTTTTATCTTAACAGCAGGGAAACACTTAGGTAGGCACCTGCCTTGGGCCTTCACTCTTTGTAACAACTGGATTCTGTGTGAGAACAGCACAGAACTGCAACGCTGCACCGTTACAGGATGGGTTAGAAAGTGCACTCATGTCCCTGGCTAGGGGAAACATCATGCGACGCGCGGCTGACTCCTTATCACCTACACCGATCTGTGAGGCTTTTTCCTTTTTTTACCCATGTGATGCCGCCCCCTTGAATGGTTCGTCTTCTTCATGCTGGCTCTGGCCTGGGTTTTGTATCTGTATCTCTGAAGAATCTCTGACTTAAATGTCAGGCCTGCATTGAACAAATGTGGCTCCTGAACCGAGTCACACAGGCGTACACGTGCACACGCGTACACACAGGCCCAGTGTGTTCTTCTGAGGACTAAAAGTTCGTGGTCCCAGAAATGTTTTTATTTGCTCACAGAAACAAACACAAACCCCACAGATTCGATAGTCAAACGCCGTATTTCTTTGTCATTCTAAGAAACCTTGTTCCTAAAACTAAGACAAGAGCTCACATTTGCTGCCCTTGTTATAAACAGGGCAAAAACAGATGTCTGTAGTTGCCATTTTAGCCGTGGAAAATCAATAATATGGGGCTTTAGCTGGCACCTGTCTATCTTTCTGGGAGGTCACTCAGTCTCTGTGCATTTAGCGCCATTTACATGGTGCTCCCTACAATGCTTTTCAGTTGTACTTTAGAAACATAATTGGGTTAGAACGGTTGCCAACAAAGAACCCCATCAATGCCAAACACCCATGGCAATTAACAGCCACCTCACTGTGACAAAGCCCACTATTGTTTCTAGCAGGCTGCTGCAAGCTGCAGGTAAATTTTTTGTTGAAATTAAGCGATGGTGCAGGTTGGTAATGGAAACGACAGCTATTTATTTATTTATTTTAACAGGAATCTCATCATGACTTTTTTTTTATGCACACAAGATAATTGAACAACACTGTAAGAGGGGAGAATGCAGTATGTAACAAGGATGCCTTCTGCCTTCAGTCACTTAACCCTGCAGTCATTTTTCACATCTGGTTCTCAAGGACTGAAAGCACCTACTATCCCCACTCAGGTGTGCTTCAAAGTATGACCTGCCCCTCCCTGATAGGCAAATTTTAGTGGATTTGGCAGGGCCAAACACTTTCAGCGCGCAGGAACAGGAGACCTGAGGTACATGAAAACTGGCAAACTCAGAGAAGCATGTTACAGAAAAGGACATTCCTTCTTTTTACATTGACCTCTGTCAATGCTTTTGGTTTCTATTTATTTTGCATGACAAAAGCAGTGACCGACAACTAAGGTAGCATAGCAGGCATCTCCTGAGCTTGATCTACAACTGAAAAAGCGCTGGTGTATCTTTGGATAGAGACAGCCCCCAATTTATGAAGAACCTTGCAACTATATTGCCTGGATTCTCTTCCACAGACTGTCACTAATCTAAGACAAAATATATAGGGCACAGTTCTGACCTTCTTAAGACCTGATGCAAAAATAAATGTGTGAGCTTTTCCATCGACTTTTCTCTGCATCTAGTCCTTTCACTGATGTCAGTAAGGACATATTGTACTGAATTCAGGGAGTAACACTGGGGAATTAGGCCTGTAAACATTCTGCGGTTCTTTCTGTCTCCTTTCACCCTATGCTGATGAACTGACAATTATAACCTTACTTCAGATCTAGTATTTATATCCATTGGCATGCCTTACAACAGAGCTCTTCTAACTGTGACCTCTAAGCATGACCTAAATAGAAATAGTAATAAGTAGTAATAACAACAAAATGCTGTCACCCAGGGAGAAATCAAAATGGCAAAATAAAAATAAATATATATATGGCTTGCCAAAAATTTACATAATTACAGTTTATCATTTAGCCCATACTGTTTAAAGGATTAGAAACCCAAAATCAGATATCCAGAATTTTGCATCAGAAGATAAAAGTAGAATGTAAGAATAAACAGAATGGAGGAGTAAGCAAACTAAGTAAGCAGAAGATATTTGACAAAATATACAGATATTTAAAGTGAAGCATTTTTCATCTGGGGGAGTTTTTTGACTGCTGTCTTCTGCTTCTAGACTGTGAAGAATCGAGGACTTCCTTAAAAGTTCTGCAGAGTCCTGGCAATCTGTGTGTGGTAACAGTCAGCATCTTTCATCTACTCTTCAGAACAATGCTTGTCCTTCAAGAAGATGGGATCCCTCCTCGTAACTCCAAGGGAATTATTTTATGTGTCCATTCAATCAGCTGAGATTTTCCAGGATGCTTTCAGTGATGCTGAGCGATGACAACGATTGCTCTAAGTGATCTGACAGATTCAATTCCATGTGTAGTAATGTTACTGAGAAGCAGGAATGAATGGGCTGACTTTACACTATCTCAGACTCAGTCAGAAATCACAGATGCTGTAGCTTAGGTCACAATCAAATATTAATTTCTACCCCACATTGGACACGCTGAAGGAAAATCAGCAGCAGAGAGAAAATAACCCTCTGAAATAAATGGGAAGTGTCTCCCTACACCTCAACATGATACCAAATGAGTACCAAAAACCTCCTGTCTGGGTCAGAGGATTTGAGATTGGCACTTTAGCAGTACCCGATAATTTAATACAAATGTAAAGTTAATAATAAGGTCGTGGGTCAAACCTCGCCTTTCACTTTGTGCCCCCATGCTAGCACTGTGCACGTTGAGGCACTGACTGAAGTTTGTATGTCTGTAAATTCAGAGGATTTCAGAAGGGAAGGTGACTGATACGCCACGTGTTATAGCGTAGGGAGATCTCTGAGCTCTCAGCAGACGTACCCTAAAACTTGGGGATTTCGCCCCTCGTGATGCAGAACCCCCAGGGCTTTTCCCAGCGGAGGGGTGGCTGCGCACTGCTCCTCCCACTGGTTGGGGAGAGGCGGCAGAGCACGAACTGGAGCAGAAGCAACCCTGCTTGGTCCTGCAGCACACTGAGGTACAGCCCTCAGCCCCCTCAGCAGCCGCCCCTCGCCCCGCCGTGCCCGCTCCCCCCCTCGCAGCCCCGGCCCCTGGCCACAAAATGGCGCCCACATGCCCGGGCCGCGTCTCCCTGCTGCCGGGCCGGGGCACTGCGCAAGCGCAGCGGCCGCCCCGCCGCGGGGCACGCCGGGAGTTGTAGTGCGGGAGGGCGCCACAGGGAGGCGGGAGGGGCCTCCCCGCAGCGGGGCTGGCGGTGGGGCGAGGCCCCCAGGGCGCAGAGATGGCCTCAAGGAGCGGGGAGCCGTGCCTTGCTGTCACACCCAGCGCTGTGAATCCTATGCAGCCTGACCTGGAGTCCAGCTCTCCTCAGCATTATGTCCCTTTGCTCCTGGTCAGGTGTACACAGATACTGCGAGTTACAGCTAACGAACACCCGGCCCTACAAACACTCCTGCGTGCCCCCTACCTCAGCCTTCCTGAGAGCCCACAACGCCTCTTTCCCCTTCTGCATCTTTTTTTTCCCTCTGAAAACAGATCTCCTTAGAGGGATGAAAAGGCTTTAATTTAAAAAATAATACACTGAGTTACAGGATTTTGTAAATATTCAAGACTGGGGAAGAGAAAAAAAAAAAGTTAATGTTCTTTCATGTAAAGAGTGGATTTTACTTCATCTCATTCAAACACCTTGTCTTTTACAATTCGTACTTTCAACAAAATTTCACGCTCAAGGAAAAGACAAATGAAGTCCTACTGTGCTACCATTGTAATCCCAAATGAACTAACTCACTGCAGCTGAGGGAACAAGAAAAGCAGCATACATTTTCTATGTCAACAGCCAGTTTATTGGAAGCATTTGCTTTTAGGAAATGCTTTTGTGAAATACAGGAAACCTCTAAATCTGCTACTGAATAACTGGAAATTCAGGAAAGAAATGCAAGCTGAAAACCAGTGAAGCCTCGTAACTTGAGGATGGAGAAAGCTCTTGCTGGTTTCTGTGACTAAGATAAGGTTGGTTGGGCTATGTTTTTTTTTATTTTTTTTAATTATTTATTTATTTATTTATTTATTTTTCCCAGAAAGCTGGAAGATGCAGCTTGTGCTTTGTACATGCCCTGGCTCATGCAGTTCAACCAGAAATGCTGGCCAATATTCTCTTTTGTGACTTTAATGAAGAGGAGAGAGTAGCCAGATAAAACCTGCCTTGCCTTTCAGCTCCGGGTTGATTTTGTAAGCGGCTTTCCTCGGGACTACACAGAGGGTGGGATGCAAAGGCTATTTTGGCAGCCTGCAAGGGTGTGCAGGCTGCAGAGGAAACATGGTTCTGGGGTCTCAAGGAGATGTGGCACTGTGGCAAAATTTGCTTGCTGTGTTTGCTTCCAGTCACAGGAAGGAGAGCTGGATAAACAGGAATAAAATCAAAAAATAAAAGTCTCCAGGAATTGCATGCAATATTTAAGAAGGATGTTACTGTTAATAGCATTAAACACACACTGAGATTAAGAAGGCTGAGAAGCCAAGCTTTGTCTAAGATTCTTACATAGCACCTCTCACCTGTGCGGAGGCAAGCAGCACTGTCGGTACTAGAAAGAGGCAAACCAAAACCCAGGTGGTTTGCATTGGCAAAGGCAGGATGTACTTGTTTTTCATTCATGACATTACTTCAGAGCCATGCTGACTTAATCTGTTATAGTAATAGCCTTCATCGGTAGATGAAGCCTTGAGGGAACGTGAGGTTCACGTCCCAGAAGAGGAAGCAAGCAGCAGTTGCACAAATACCCGCTCTGAAATGCCAAGGGCACTGGAAGCCCTTACAGAGCATCAAAAACTTGTCTGTAACAGAAGCACACAATGTGAAATCACGGAAATACTCACAGGTATAGCCAGAACGGAGATTTAGCAAGTTCTCTAATGCATTTTAGCATGTTTCTGTTTGGTTTTAATTTAATTCCGTGTAATTTTTTGATGAGAAAAAAAGAGCCACTAAGGGGGCAGAAGGCTGTCTCCAGCTCTGAGTTTTCCTCTAGTCAGTGTTTGTTTACATGCTGGGGAGGAGTCAGCTTTCTGAACCACCACTCTCCCCCTGCCCGAGCACCACTTTGTTATTTTCCCTGTGCCAGCAGCAGTGGCCGGGTACCTGGGGCTAACATCAGCCCGAGAAGGGACGCGCTCTGCTTTGGTGGCACTTCACGTTCTCCTTCCCCAGGCAAACCCGCAGGCTGGCATCTCCCCCCCCCCCCAACTCCTGAGGTGCTCAGCGCTTCCACTTCCACTCCGGCAGCCCGAGACCAACTCCTGGGGACCCCGGGGGCTGTGAGGGACCCCCTGGCTCAGCCCTCCCGCAGCCCCAGGCCTCGTTTTCCTCTCCGGAGCCTGAGGCAGCGCGGCCGGGTCCCCTCACACGGGGCAGGGCCGGGCCGGGCCGGGCCCCCTCACACGGGCAGGGCCGGGCCGGGCCGGGCAGCCTCGCCTCACCTCAGCGGGGCCGGGGGAGGCCGCGCTGCAGCCCGCGGCCGCCAGGGGCCGCCGGTGTGGCGGTGCTGCCGGCCGAGGGGGGGCCCGGCGGTAGCGGCCGGCTCCCCGCGGGGGCTGCCCGGCGGTGCCGGGGCTGTGAGGGGATGCGCGGCGGGGCGGCGCGGCCCGAGCTCCGCCGCCGGAGCCAGCGGCCCCCCGGGACGGCAGCGGAGGCGAGCGGGACCCGCACCTGGCAGCGGGCAGGAGGGGAGGTGAGCGGCGCCCCGCAGCGCCGGGGGGCGGCCGGGACTCCCCGGACCCCGGGAAGGGCCCGAGCTCGGGGGCCGCGCCTCGCCTCTTAACCCCCGGGAGCGGCGAGGCGGCGCCCCGGGAGCTTTGCCCTCGGGCCCTGCAGGCCGGGAGAGGAGGGAATTTGCCCCCTGGGGCGTTCGGGCGGCCAGGTAGGGAGCGAGCACGGCCCGAGCACGCAGCTGCCGGCGGAGGTGAGGCGGGAGGGGTTGGCCACGAGCTGAGTCACGACGGGGCTGCCCCCGCCGAGCAGCGCCTGCTCCTGCTCGCCCCCGAGCTGCCGGCCGTGCTGATTGTGCCTCCTTTCCTTTTTATTTTTCGCCAGGGATGACCTCTAAGGATGGTTCAGGTGAAGCTCATAGTCACGGGAGATGACTTCGGCTATTGTCCTCGGAGAAACCAAGGCATTGTGGACTGTTTCCTGGCTGGAGCGGTGTCTAACGTGTCCCTGCTCGTCAACGGAAGTGCTGCAGCAGATGCAGCCAAGCTGGCAAGGAGGTAAGCTGCTTTCTTTAGCTCCTTTGTGGACAGCCTCCTCAGGCTATCCGAGGGAAGCCGAGCCCGTGAACTGTAGTATAGTGTAGCCCTAGTACAAACACTGTATCATAACCTGGATTGGTATAAGAGAACTGGATTACAGGCATCTTAACTAACTCCTCATATCAAAACCACCAACCTACCAGACATACCCAAAGCGGCTTTTCCTCTGGTGTTAGCTCCTACACCGCCCATTTTGTTACGGTGATAGAAGGCCAGTTACACAATTTGACTGGTACGGTTTGGGTTGGTGGGTTTTCTTTCCCCACACTTCTAAAAGACGTGCCATCAGAATGAAAGTCCACACTATCCTGCCAGACTAAACTGCCACCCCTAAAACTATTGAGGCATAAAAGCACTAATTTTTAAGCCTAATCTAATTTGATTAATTTCAGCCAGACTGAACATGGAATTAACCAGATTGTTTTTGGAATCCGGAAGCAGGATTGTTCTGCAAAGGCTCACCTATAAAGCTGGGCAGTGGAAAACTCAACTTTTTTAAAAAAAACTTTTTTAAAAACACATCAATATTTCTATTTATTCTAGACTTGATAAATCCATTCTTAAAACAAACAAACAAACAATCTTCAAGCATAACAAGAGATGATACCTCATACCTGTCTTGTACCTACCACTTTTGCCCTTTCATGAACTTTTCAGAGGTTTCTGGCACAGTTTGCTCTGTAGCAAATCAAATGGCATGCATCATTCTGTTGGACTAGCCCAGCAAATCCTTTAACAGGAAGCATTACTTCAATTTAGAAGGTAAAACCCAGCTAATACTATAATTCCGGAGGGGAGGCACTTTGGAGCTGGAGTACATCCTGAAAAGAAGAAGAGCAGGGCTGAAAAAAGGGAGGAAACAAACTGTAATGGGACTAGATAAACTGAAACCTTATGCTTTACATATGCCTCCTGCAAGGGACAGTTTGATGGGAGTCATGCTGTCCTTGTTCTCCTGGAACACTTCTCCCTGATTTAATTGTACTTTTGGAGGTACTTAGAAATTGCCTGCAGCTTCCCTGGTGAAAATGAGTATTGTGTAGTGCAGGAAAGTCAGGGTGTGGTGTTAGTGGCAAACTTCTGTTAAAAGGGCTAGAAATGACACAAACACTGGGAGGGAACCACCTCTGGGCTGATAAGGGGAAAGGCAGCAGGGTAGGCACAACACTGCTGAGGTGTCTAAAAGCCTGTTAGTAAAACAAATGAAATGTAAAATGAGGAGGTAGAGGCAGCACTTCTCTCAGACTTGCAGGCACCATGAAACCCTTTAAGCCCAAAAGCTGCGGTAATGTTGTCTGCTATTTCAGCTGTGGTCTTTAGCAGGCTTTTAAATATAGAATCCACCTGGCCTCATTTCCATAGCCAGAAAGTAGGCTGTACAGTCAGAGGTTTAAAAAGCATCTTTGAATCCAGGTCATGACACTTGTGCTGACAGCTGATAAGGGTATGAAAAGCCAGGTTGGAGGGCTGCTGACAGCAGAAGCTGCTCAACCTGCTGCTGCAATTTGCCTTTTTTAGGGGCGGTTTTGAATTGTATGTGTGAACAAAATGGATTAAAAATCTATTTCTGAGAATATAATCTGAGTGACTTCAGGAACATCTGTTAGCATCAGCAGCCCACATTCTACAATTCCTCATTCCTGAGTAACTCACTGCAGCTGTATTCAGGCCTACCCCTGCACTGGAAAAATATTTGCAGGTGTAGGACACAGGATTTGTCTAATGCAAAACCTCAATTCAGGTGCTGAATATACATGTACTAAATTGGCATCTGAACATGTAAACAAACTTGTCATCCCTCATATGTTCCCATCATGCAGAGATTTGCACAAAGTTTTGTGGACACAGATGTCTAATAGGTTGGACTTACTAAAAACATCATTGAATCCTCACTGTGTGGTGTCATGATGAAAGGCAAACAGGAGTGGGAAAGTATCACTGTTGCTTTGCTGCCTTGCCACTGTATTGCCACTTCCCCCTGCTTGATGTTGTCTCCTGTCCCACTGTGAATGATGATACTTTGCAGCATTTTATGTTTTAGGGGATGAAAATCTGCCCTGTTTTCCTATCCCATGTTTGCCTTCCGCTACAGACACCCTGCTAAGCAAGTACCAAGCACACACACACACATATACACACGCATGATCAACTCCCCAGCAGTGCTTTCAGCCTGCAACTACACAGTGGTGTAAGTTGGGAGGCTGGATCTGTCACCAGTTGAAAAAAAGGCTTGCAGCAAGCAGCTTCTGCTTTCCTGGGGTTCATCCCAGTGCTGTGGGATTTGAACTTCTGCACTCAGTGCCAAGATTGTCAGACTGCTGGTGTTTGTGACTTGTGGAGATCATCTGTGTGCTTCTTGGTTAACTACGTCCTGGTTGCTTGTCACTGAAGGTCGTAAGCTCTCCTCACCTGGTCTGCAGTTAATTGCATGCATGCAAAGCTAATTAGTAACAAAAAGGCGTTTCTTGCAGGATAGTCTTTTGTAAGCACCTTATGCTGTCCTGCAATGTTAGGACTCACCATCCTTCAAAAACACAGTTCTGGAATTTCATTCTTCCCTTCATTTTCACAATAACTCTGTAGGCTTCTGGGTATGCCATCTGTTGTCCTGTGCTTTCATTAGAAGAGCTGGCAGAAATGTAACTGTAGTCAGCAGCTGTTTGTACCAGCTCTAACACAAACTAATTGCAAAGCAGCAGAACCAAGCAGTAAATAATATACCTTCCATCACATTCAGGCTCTGGATTTGGGTTTTTTCACACTCACTTTCACAACCGGGCTAAAAGAAAGGGCCCACTCACTTCAGGCAAGAGAGTAGTTTCAGCAGAGGCCTGATTCATCCTCAGATGACAAACCTATTGACAGCAATTGCTAGAGCAGTGTGTAACCAGAGCAGCAGAAGGGAGAACAGATTTCTATTGTTTTTTTTCCAGTAACTCAAAAGTTTTCTCTTTATGAGGCATAAGGCAACGTGATATCCTGGTTATCCAAAAAGGTAATCTTAATTGTGTATTTTATCAAGCCCCACCTTGGATTCTGGCAGTCATCTTGGTGCTTCTAGAGCCTTTTCCAGAGATCAGAAGAATTATTTTGTTAACTGAACAGGTCTCTTCATTTTTCTTTAGAAACAAATATGGAGATAGCAGAAATACAGAGACCTATGAGTGTTTGCTGCCTTACTTCCCCCCCTTTTTATCACTCAGCTCAATTGTGACTTTTAGGCCCATTTTCTAGATGATTATATCCAAACACTTGATAAAGAGTGGCATATTTTAGAACACAACCTCAGTCGTCTTCTTTTTTCCTTTCTGTTAAATGCTGAACATCAACTACACAAAAGCTGAAGCCCCCACATCTGGGTACATTTAACAGAAGAATCTAACAAAACCACATTTAATTGCTGTCTATGTTTTCACTTCCTTTCCCATCAACACTAATTGCAAAATGTGTGTGTAAATTGTGACTTAATTCTGACCCTCCCAGTTGACATCTGACTAATCTAGAAGTCTCTCATGCTTTCTCATCATCCTTTTATCTGACTGTTAATCACACGGCAGACAGCCCAACTGTGTTTGGGTTAGGGTTAGCATGCTGAGACATTAAACTAGAGACCTAGATCAAATTAACTCCACTGGAAACAGCACTTTTGCTGATGTAAGGTTATGGATGTTAAACCTAAAGCCAATAAAGATGTAACTGAAAAGAAAGTCAGTTCCAAACACTGTTATAGTATTGGTTCTTAATACAACAGAGGCTTTGGAGTGTTCCTCCCACCAAGAATAAATCCTTAGCAGTAATGGAGCAAGACAAGATACAGTTAGATAAACACATTTTGCTATAGAGTGAAAGTGGGGGAAAAAAGTGTGCAAACGTCCACCTGAAGAAACTGAGATGTGCCCTTCTTTGTGTAGAGCACAGCCTTGCTTTGACTGGACATTTACTGAAGCAGGATGTCTGCATAAAGATATTTACATGGGGCTCTTAATTGCATCACATGGGCTGAAACCTGATGAGCCAGTAGCTTCCCAGATAAGGATACAACCAGGATGTTGAAGGTAGGATCTATTTACCCAGCAAGGAAACGAGTAAGTGCCACGCTTATCCCAGAGCATGCAGCCTTGAGTGAAACAATTGGCAAGGTCTAGGCCTGGGGAAATCACACAATTTCCACAGCTATTGCAGCTGCTCGCAGGGACTGCACAGAGTCCTCTCTGTGGCCAGGCAGGGCACTGTAGTCATCCACCAAGCTCAGAAACGTGCAGCAATGCTGGCGGCATTATAAGGAGTGCCTCAGTACAGTGACACGGTCCCTGGGGACCCTTTACTGCTAAGGATATGAACGAGCAGGGATTGCAACTGCACAAAAGCCCATTGCCTCAGCTGGGCCATTTGTTCAGAGCACTCGTGTGGCAAAACAAGCAACTACTTGAAAAGGAAGCAGTTTAGCCGATTGTATTTCCTCTATTTGATAGCTGGGCTGGGCGTGTTGGCTGAGAAAGCTTTCCAGACTTAATTCCTTGTTGCCTCTTGGAGCATTTGTTGCAAGGGTATCTCCTTTCTTCCCCCCCTCTACAGGGGATGCAGAGCAGTGAGCTGCAGAGCTGGGCTCGCTTCAACAGCCAAATTGCTCTCAGTGGAAGCAGCTCACTAATGGACTAGCCTTAGTGGCTGCAGAAGCTACTCAAACTCCTTAAACTCCTCTCAGCAAGGTCACAGACCCCAGCCCAACACTCCTGATGTAGAAGCAGGAACATGCATTTGTAGGCATTGCCCTTTGGGTTCATCAGGATGGAATTAAACCCTTGTGTTAAATTCACTTCACATCCGTGTATTCTCCAGGGCAGTGGGAGTGCAAACACCTAGACATGCACCCCTCCAAAGAGGTAGTGGAAGGGTCAGTGCTGCCTTAAAGAACCAGCAACAGGAGTTAAGAGACCAAGCCTCAGCACCATGTTGTGTTGGCAGTAGTAGCTGTTAACTGCAGCTCTTTTATTGCAGAGACCCATGCTCAAACCTTGGTGCCAATCGTTTTGAATCAGACTTTGGGTCGAGCAGTTAGATTTGGCTGGTAAGGACCAGCAGGGCTCATCCTGTCCCATCCATGGGGAAATCTAAGGGCAAACCCACAACAGCTGAGCTCTGGTCCCAGTATGGCATCACATGCCAAGCAGCTTGGGCTCTTGGTATCTGCTCCAATATTCTGTCAGCTTCAATATCTCAGTTAGTGCCTTTGGAAAGATCTCAGCAACTATCAAGCACGTTGGTGTAGAGGAAGCAGTTACCTGCCCGCTGCTAAAAAAGGGTCCTTCCAGGGCGTTCCTCTAACTTCACTTTGCACCATGGCTTTCTTTCAGTGCCATGTGCCTTGGCATTGCTCTTTGGTTGCAGCAGCTACATTTCACTGGTGAGAGGCAGCTGAGAGAGTTCGTCCAGTGCTCACAGGAGTAGAGAAAAGCTCATGGAATCAGTCTTAAAGGCGAAGCCTCCAGTCAGGACAGAGCATTACTGGAGCCCAATTTCCTGGGGCACAGCCCAGCGGTTACCATAATGCTTGAAGTTTTGCTCACATTTTCATCCTTTCACTTTGGGCTTCAGATACTTGTGCAGTGTCTGTTTGTTAGGAACAAACACTCAGCTGCAGGGCATTTGGTGCTGATTAGGAGCAGCACCTGGCTCATTTCATTTAGAGGACTTGAACTGCTTTAGGTACAGGAAAATGCTAGCTAGCAGCAGAATGCTGCTGAGCCCACTGCAGTGTCCACCTTCACATGTCCTTAGAGCTGGCGTGCTTGCTTCTATGCATCTCCCACAGATGAATACCCCCAAAGAAGTTTATTGTGTGCTGTGTTTCGAGTTTTGGTTTCAGTGCCTTTATCCCAGAGCTATTAAATGCTAACAGTTCCTATTTAGACGCCTCAGTGTGGACAGTCTGTCAGACCAGCCAGGACTAACTCCAGGAGAAAACTATTAAGATACTCAGCTGGTGTTAGCCCAAGCTCTGAAACACGCTCTAAAGTTACGGAGAGAGGCTCTCCTTACAGCGAGAACAAGGCCAGCTCTCTGCACTTCCACATTCTGCACATTCCCCAGCTCCGGGGCTGGCTTCAGCTCAGGCAGAGGAGCGGCTCCAGTGTTCTGCAGTGCAGTGCTTGGCTCCTCGGTGTCCCACACCTGTCAGAGGGGCTTGCCTTTTCCTGGGGATCGCTTCACTCACAGCATTTGAGGCATCGCACAATTGGAGGCAGTTCATTCGATGCCCCTGGGAAGCCCAGCTGTTCATTTCTGGCCCTCCTGCAACACATGAGAAGGCAAGTGCTGCACAGGAGAAGTCATCCATCTGCTGATTCATGGTAACACATGAATCCTTTTCTTGTAGACAGCAGTGGCTGTGATGCAAGTAGTGCTATCAGCTGACGTAGTCAGAGCTTCCCAGAGACACGGTAACCAATCTGCAGTGGCTTTCCAGAAGAACAAGCTGCCCCTCTGCCTTTGGGCTCACGCAAGGTACGCATCAGGTGACAGGAGGGAAGGGATGCCCTCTGCCACAGCTCCTCTTCTGCACCATAGCTGCCTCCTGCCCTGCCACCAGCCGCCTGTGAGCTTCTCAGCAGAACGCCTCAGGGCCCCCGCTCCCAGTGACAGCATCTTCCAGTGATAACTTGGACACGACCACGCTAACTCCTTCCATGCGCTCAGGCCCCTGGTGTGAAAATCAGATGGTCAGTTATACAACCAGGTCCTGCTGCAAAGAAATCACCAGATCAGAGGAGTTTGAGGACCTTTTCCTCCACAAGCTGTTTTGCTCCATGAAGCAGACATTCAAACTGCAGAGACATGGACTCGTTTTGTTTCACAGAGCTCTCCATACAGCTTAACACTTCCATCTGCCAGGAGGAGGAGTACCTAGCAACAGACTACACCATCCACCTGGAGCACAAGACATGGAGGAGCCAGGAAGAAAATTTCAGTCCTTCAAGGACTAAAACCTTAAAACCTGGAGGAGCTAAATGGTTCTGATCCAGTCTAATCCCTCCACAGTCCCTCTGCCCCCTGTAACTTGGTACTTCACTAACCAGCCTCAGGGCAGCAGACAGAAGGGGAGATCTGGTTTTCCACCAGCCCTTTGCCTTGTCTTGGACAAAGTTCACGGCAGTCCATCCATCCTGGGGCACCTCTGTAGGTTTTCACATTCTCCTTTTGCAACCAGAACACCATGGAGTGTTTCAATGAAATCACTCCAAAATTTAGCACCCTTCAGCCATCCTGTTTCCATTACCCCTCCAGAGAAATCTGTTCCAAAAACAGGACTGGAAGTAACCACTGCCACCAGAGATCTGTCCTCCCGTAGGCATTTGGAATTATTGCAGAGGTCCTCAGAGGATCCTGAGAACATGTCTAAACAGGAACCAATTTATGGTAACAGAACTTGGAGCTAGAGCTGGACAGGACAGTTTTCTGATCCCATAAAACTTTAACAGGCATTTCCATATAGAGATGAAAGAGATATCTAACTTGGAATAGCTCTGGGGGAAGGTCAGTTATTTGTAAGCTGGGTGTTAACTCTCCTGCCTTGCTTGTCATTTGTATCTTGGGAAGGAGTTTGTGATGATCCACATCTCCTGTTGGAACTGTTCTGTTTTGCAGATATCCTTTAAGCCACGGGCTTGATGCAGTCTGCCACAGTCTGATGAGTCTTAAAACCCTGAACCAGAAAGGTCCCTCTTCCATGAATGCCTCTTTGTGTGTGGAAAAACTTAAATCAACACTTACACCAACACAAGGGAAAATTAGCTCCTAGACTGGATAAGAAATTTTCTCATTAAAACTTCTTGTCCAAACATGAGCATTCTCTGAAATGCAGCTGTTTCAGCTTCATCTGGAACCACCCTCTCTCTCAAGACAGCAGGGATAGAAGGGAAGTTGGTTGGCCAGAGAACTTGAGTTTTCCTAAATGGATGTTGCTTTTGCTCTCCTCCTTGTAGTACAAGCATTGCAACGGGGACCAGGCCCTGTTTTAGCAGCTCTGTGCAGAAGTTCCAGGAAGGATTTAAACCATAGACTTGTTGCCTTGAAGTTCGCTTGGCACCGTGACGCAGGCTGGACAGCACAGAAGGGGCACTGCACTCCAGCTAGAGGGGGTCTTGGGAGAAGTCTCAAGGCATCATTTTGGTCACCCTGAGAGGATTTTGGGAGCAGCAGCGAGACTCGCACAAGACTGAGCGCTCCCAGGTCCTGTTTTCAGTTTAGGGGAAGCCACAGCACACAGAAGGAAACACCAGCACTGTGCAAAGCCTGGTGGCTGACAGGAGCTCTGCAGATACACTGGTAGTTTTTGTTTTAATTTGCAGAGTGCAGCTCACTAACAACTTGGACCCTTTCATCTCCTTAACAAGGCCCTACACTTACACCACCAACCTCCTGTGTAACTCTGCCTCTGTGCTGGAGATGCCACTTGGTACAGCCCAGCTCCGTCATCTGCACGGTTAGACGGAAACCTAGCCACTGCAGGCAATTCCAGCTGCTGCCTCTCAGACCAGGTTACCCCTGAACTCAGGCAGTATTTACACTTGCAGCCTGTGCTGTTGCCATAACCGCTGCCTTTGGCACTGCTGATACATAGCGGGGTTCTGCTTAAAGGCAGCTTTAGAGGTTGTCAAATAAAACTCCAATGTCTCAGAAATGCAGCATCTTCAGGAGTGTGAACTCAAGGGAGTACCTGGGCTAATGAAGTGCTTTAGAACAGAGTTGCAAGGTCCAGATTTCTGTCAGTCACTGATGAGTTCAGCACCATACAGTTAGAGCTTTTAGTGCAGTTACAAAATTTAGCCTGAAGTGCCTTGTGGCTGCTCTCCACTCAAAGTAGGATGAGAACAGAACTGGGGGAGTCTCAGAACTGGACAGGATTGTTACCTGGTGATATCCTGCTCTGGTCTAGTGTTCTGTTTTCTTTTCTAGAAGAGCAGAGGTCCAAAGATGTACTCGTGTGAGCACACTGTTTAGATCAGAGTAGCTCTTTGTCTGAAATCTCACCCTTTGGACCCAGTAAGGAAGGTAGAGGTGCAAAGCTTAACAGATATTTCAATCCTGTTACAGATACAACATCCCGATAGGACTGCATGCCAACCTCTCCGAGGGCTCCCCTGTATGTGAGGTGCTCAAGACAAACTCTTCTCTGCTCAATGAAGATGGATTTTTCCACGGGAAGATGGGATTCAGAACAGCCCTATCAAAAGGTCTCCTGAACATGTCAGAGGTAGGAGAAAGCCACCTACAACCATGCAACTGATAAAACTTAGCCTGCACTTATCCCAGAATGTAACAGTTGAAGGTCGTTGCCAGGTCCCAGCTGGGAGTACACCTACAGATGAATCTAGGTTGTGTTTTGGCATCTGGAACTGCCTGTGTCCTACACCTAATTTCACCACAGCCTCTGAGAACCCATTCCTCCCTGCTTCAGTGACACACATGCTAATGTGCTGTTAGCTGCTTATCTGATAGGGCAGAAGAGACATTGGAACAGAAACTGACTAAGAACCTAGAAATCAATAAAAGGAAAGTGTCAGAGAAGTGCTAAGTAGGCTTTGCATCACCTTGTCAGAGGCTTTTGTTCTCTAGGGAAGTGGCTGGTTTTGCCCCTTGAACAAAGGTAAATGTGTTCAGGTGATCAAAACTGCCTACAGGATTAAAGCTGCCTTTCATTTTAAAGGGAAAGGGACAGCAAAATCTCCAGGAGGCACTATGCGCTCTTCTGACCTCAGCCTACTGACAGGTCTTTCTTTAACCCCTTTCTACTGTACAGGTGAAGCAGGAGCTAAAGGCCCAGGTGGAGCTGTTCCATGAGCTGACAGGCCACCTACCTCCTCACATGGATGGGCACCAGCACGTTCATGTCCTCCCAGGTAAGAGGGCACTCCTCTTCCCAGCACCAAGCAGGTGAGAGACAGTCAGCTGAGAGATGACTCCACTTGCCATGGCTCCCTGGGCAATAAGCCTTTAAGACCTTAAAGAGGCTCTACAATTGCAGTTTGAGCATTCTCACCTGGGTCAAGTTAGTCACTGAGACTGAAGCTGGTAGCTCTTTGAAGTGCTTCAAGATCTCTATCCTGTCAGTTGCATTTCCACACCAGTCGTTGCAGGTCTCAGCATGCTTTCCATCAGTGGGCAAGTACCTGTATCCCTGCTTTTCAACTAAGGTCACTGTGGTAGAAATAGAAAACAGCAAAAATCAGTAATTCCCCATGTCAACACAGCTGTCTCTGGATGACACTGCTCTTAGTAATCTACTCTTTCAACAAATACCTCTGTGCAGAGGCTTGGTGAAGAACTTCTTCCCAGCTGTGCAGATGCCTCAGGTGCACTCTACTACTAGGCTAATTTAGGAGAAGTTGGTGGACTAAATGCTTAGTGCTGGGGGGAAGATGAGGCACCTGTAGCAGGTGTTGAGGGAGTAATGTTCCCAGATATTTCCAGTTTAGAAGGGGACTCCCATCAAGATGAACAAAACCATTTCAGCAGAAGAGAAGCCAAGTGAGATTTTTTTTTTTTTTTTTTAAATGCAGAGAGGAAAAGATGTCTCTCTGCTGACAGGTTGCAGGGGACATGTTTTGATTCCTGACTAAAGTAACTCTGTTTTTACTTGCAGAAGTCAGGAATGTATTTGCAGAGGTGTTAGAAGAATATGGGATCAAATACACACGTGTCCCAATAGAGCCAGGCCTTCATAAGTGTGACTGGATCACACCATCCCTGATGGACTTCTATCTGGGAGTAGAAGAAGATTCTCTTAACACAGTGGATGTGTTTACAAGTCATGGAATAAGGTAAGACAGGCTTTACTCATCCTTTTTGTGGTAAAGCTTTAAGATCTTGTCAGTTCCTGATAGGATCTTTTCAGGGATGGAACAAGACCTTGCTCTCCTCAATTTGGGGTTTCCAAGGGGATTCAGCAGCAGTACTAAAGCAGTGGTGACACTAAGGGTAGTATGCAGTTTTGTTTGAACAGGGATAACTCACTTCTCACCTGAAAGGGATTGTTCTTTTCAGGGTTTGCTTCTCAGCCTTTCCAATCAAGTAGATTAGTCTGGCCTCTGGGACAGTAGGAGACTGAAGTGCTACTTCAAGACTGAAACTTTGTAAGTAAGATCAAGGGGAGGGTTTCAAAAGATAACTTCTCATCTCCTTGGAATAGTGGAGAAAGGGTTTTAAGTAGCAGGAAAGAGAGTAATTAAAAACAAATATCTGTAGTTATGGGGAAACATGGTCAGAGAGCTTGCAGTGCCACAGCAAGTGATCACTGCTTTAAGCAGTCTTTTCAGTGTCCTGCATCTCAAAACACAGCACCCGTACCTCAGTCCTGCACCTCAAAAGCTCAGCCCTTCCACCAGTAACATACTTCTTTTACAAGCTTAAACTAGTGTTTTACAGGTGAAAAGTTCTTTAGCTGAGATCCTTGCAGTCACCTGTCTTTTGTAGCACATTTCATTACCTTCTCAGTCTGCTGAGGAAGTTTTCTTGGCTTTTACACAATTTATTTGGGGTATCAGTTATTCTCAACACCAACAGAACACCAGCATTTCACTGTGCTCTTCCTGGGCAGAGCACACAGACTCTCCTAAAACAGCCAATTTCTGAAGAGAAGGGCACAGTAACTCAGAGTGGGAAATCAGGAGAGATTAACCTACCTTTTAGGGCAGCTTCGCACCAGGAATAATGGAAGGGAGCTTAGCAGAAATCCTGCATGCTCCAGGGCTCTCTGTGCCATATCACAGGGCTTCCAAAAAGCCCCTGTTGCAGCACCCACCCTGCTGGCCCTCAGGAGGGAACTTAGAGAAAAGGGCTGCTATGGGAGCTGCATCTTTATATCTGCTGTGGCACCGCCCCAATAAGTGGGCACCTGCAGCTGCCTCCTGCCCAGAAACACTGCAGTGGGCCAGGCTCCTCCTCTTTCTCCAGGTGCCAGGGAGAGTGAGGAGGAATGGACTGCTACCAAAGAAACAAGTAATGTGAAAAAACACAGGAAAATGTGGGGAAGGTGGTCAGCTGAAGTCACAGGAGAACAAGCTGCAACTCTATTTCTGCATCTGTGCAAGGAGATACCACACCGAGCCCTCTGAGTACACTTTATGACACTGTAGAGGGCAAGACTGTGCTTACTGTGTAACAAGGCTCTCCTTTGAGCAAGTTTGATCAGTTTACAGTTAAAAAAAATGTTAACTTTTTTTTTTCCCCAAATGCTGCAAACTCAGATCTGATGAGGGCATTCAGCTGGGCTCATCCTTGAGCACACGGGTAGAGCATCTAGCTTGTTTCTTCCAAAAGCCTGCTCATTCTGCCCTCAGATACACTTGTACATCCTTCCTGGGCTTTTATGCACCAAGCTAGAACTGCAGTTTGCAGCCAGATGTGAACAAAGAATTGTGCTGAAGCTACATAAGAAGCAGCCTTCAGCTGGTGTCCTCTTAGCTGTGTATGGTCTTTAGTAGTAACAACATTTTGCCTGGTGCTTCATCTTGTCCTTTGAGTTCTTGTGGCTCTTTGACATATACTAGGAGAATGATTTGTTAACCAAGGTTGTTTCCATTTTATTTCAGTCACTTCTTTTCCCCACATAGCTGAAGGTTATTATCTGGAGGTGGTTATTATTCGGGTTTTAATTGGCCTATAAATAGTTACTTTAATCGAGTGGCATTTCTCAGTTTAGCTCCATTCTTCCCTTCTGTGCCAATGATGTGCACCTGTAAGCTCTCAGATGCCACACAAGGCCAGTGCTGTGATGCAGTGTATGTTACCAGAATGATAACAGAACCACTGGTGTCGGGGCTCTGCTGTGCCTTTCTGCCAGACTGCAGAACTGCTGCGCTAAATAGTGGCTTGATTTTGATCAGGAAAGAAACTGTGATTCCTAAGCCACTGGACGTGACACACTCCTGTCTAACTGCCTTGTTAGCATTAATATCTGTGTTCCCACCTCTGGCTGCAGGTGGCCAGACATTTACATAGGTTTGAGTACCATGGGCAAGAACATGTCCGTGAGCACCATCTGCAGTGCCATCGACGCTGCCGTTGTGGAGTTCACATCCAAGGCGCCCTCGCCCACGCACCCGACGCCACGGAGCAGGACCGTAACGATTGAACTGATGGTGCATCCAGGGTACCCGAGCGTCCCGCCCATCGGCGGCTGTGGGGAAGGACCAGATGATTTCTCACAGTCCTGGGAGCGCCTGCATGAACTCCAGACATTAATTAAGCCAGAGCTGCAGAGCCATTACAAAAGCAGGAACATTCAGCTCTGTTCATTCAAAGATCTCTAAGGAAGCAAACATACACACACCCCTACGTTTGTATTTTGGGGGTGCGCAGAAGCCAGCCAGCTGCTGTTTGTGCTACCTCCCTGACAGGAGCCGGGGATGGCCTGGGAATGGCATTAGGCCTTTCATGGAAGGTGCAACACCCTGTGAGCAGTGACAGTACCCCAAAGCCCAGTTTTTAGGTCACAGCAGCTGCTTTGAACGTTGCAGCTCTTTGCAGTGTAGCCCACTCGCACACCATTCTGTGGCACCAGCATGGCAGCAAAGGTCCGCTCACACTACCAGAGGTCAGTTCTGGCTGATGTGATGGTAAACGGCACAAAGACATTTGCTGGGAGACCAAGGAGGCTGCTAGCACCCTGCCAGGCATGATCGTTTCTGTTTCAGCAACATTTTTCATTTCTGGACTTATTGCCAAAACAAAAACCAAACCCACACGCTGCTTTGCAAGCAAATGCTTTGGAACAACCCATTGTTGCAGGCTGGCTACAGGGGAACCAGAAACCTGCAACATTTCATTTTTTTAACACATGGTCTTGCTGCATGGACCCTCACCTGCTGCTCGTGCCTGCCCATGGTGCCAAGGGCTCGCTGCTTCGGAGCATTTCCCCAGTCAGAGCAGTCGGAGCGTGGTTTTAGCCTGACGGTGAGCACAGCCATGCTCCATGGATGTCCCCAGCCAGCACCACTTAAAGCTCTTTCTATTTTTGTTGCCTCAGCATTGAGCCATCACAGAAGAGTAACCATCAGTGACAGCCCTTTCATACTTTTTTTTTGTTGGGGGGGATGACTTTACAGGAACAGCAACTGTTGACCCAGCTGCTGTTTCAGTAGCTGCTGCATGTAAGAGCTCACCAGCACCCGTTACTGTGCTGCCCACTGCCTGCCATGAAAAATGCACGGGATGGCCGTCCACCAGTTGACAGCAAGTTTTCAAGGGGACAAAGTTCTTGTACCTTTGTTCATTTTTATTCCAATCATGAAAGCATCTGAACTCCAGCAAGCCCTAGTAATCCCATGTTTAACTGCATTTTTAACTGTGGCCCTGTCACTTGCTCGTAACTTTCATGTGGGGAAAAAATATTGTTTACACTAATTTTCTGCACAGAAGCACTCTACTTAGCATTACTTTTAACTGTTTTTAAAATATTAAAAATTTCAATATGACCATCATTCTTTTAAATGAAGAATAAACTCAGGCCTTTTTCTATTGTAATGCTTCAAGAGACTTTCATTTTTACTTTTAGCTAAAAAACGCTCAAGTATCCACTCTAACTGTGATCACCTGCAGAATGCCAAAAGAACATCCTTTTGTACCATTAATGGGAACCAGTTCACCTTTCCTTCCTTTTGGACATCTGAGGGAGTTTTTGTTCTGTACAAATACAAAAAAGAAAAACATCACCAGGGACATTTTATGAATATTTTTTTCAGGCTATTTCCTAGATTACTATCACAGAGTTAATTTGACTTTTTTTTTAAACAAACATCTGCCACACCATGCAAGTGCTATACAAAGCAGTTTCAGGTTACAGTAGTAGCTAGCACGTGGAATGACAACTTCTGAAGCTTGTCCCATCGGTGTTTGATGGTAAAGTTTTTGTTTCTGTTGTCAATACAACATACAAAAAAAAAAGATGGTAAACCTGTGGAATTCGACTGAAGATCCTGAGCGCAGTTAGACGTGTGAGTGCCATCTAGTGACTGATGGTATCTTACATACAGGAATATGCCTGACACCAACGCAGCTTAGCTAATAATAGTTCTCTGCTTTTAATGTAATGGGACCATATTTTGACATGTAATTTTTAACCTTATTTTTAACTTTTAAATTGCATCATATCCTGATTGATCAATTTGCTCTGATCACCATCAATGGGTTACAACACGTTGACTTGTGTGCATTTTCTGCTAACTCAACACAGAAATTAACATGATGACAGCAATCTTAACCTGAGTTGGCTCTGTATTGTTAAGAAAAACATTCTATAAATACCGTATTTATGTGAACAGCATCAAAACACAAGTTTTCTTTTAAATTCAAATGAGTTTTAAATTGAAAAATGAATAAAGAACTACTGAAGGACTTCTAAATAAGAAACCTTTCAAATGCATAAAACGCACAGGGTGAAGTTTTCTCAGCAGTTCTATGAAAGCTTTAAAAAACAACACTGAGTTCAAATTAAAAATGCATTCAGACCACTACATATGAATGACGCTGGATCAAGATATTTAAAAAGAAGTCTGAAAACAAAACCATGCCACACCACCTTTGAGAGCAATTTTTATTAGGGTAGCAGTATGGAATTGCAGAAAGCCTATACCAGTGCTCCTGGGTGTAGTTTCACCAGTATGTTGTTTTTATTTTGGATTTTAAACTGCATGTTTAGAATTCAGCATGGCTTAGGGAACCAAAGAGCACAAGAGCTTGATTTCCTGAGTTAACAAAGGATTTGACTTCTCCCCTGCCCCCCCCAACTTCAACCATACAGTACAGTATTTGATGTCTCATCTTTCTTTCCGAGGGCCACCTACAGACAAAAGCCATTAAGTATGTTACACACCTCATAGTTTAGAAATTGAGCTATGAAGAACACACAACGAGAACTGATAGCAACACCTGTCTTCTACATGATCTTTACAGATGAATTCGAGTAGCCGGTGTATAGCACTGCCAGAGGCCTGTATGAATCAGCTGCAGCTCCTTGAATTACACAGCCCTTCCAGTTCCCTTTCAATGGCATCCACATCACACTGATTCAAAGAAATGCAGTCTTTAACCTGAGAGGCTTACAACCAGAAAGTATATTGTTTAGTAGTAACGATGGCAGCAAACTAGTGCCAGAGTTGTTTTAAATAATGATAATAAAAAAGCAAATTTAAAGAATGGAAAGTTTCTATGCCAGCAGACATGATCGAAAGGTACAGTGACTCATCTGATGCAGAAGTTACACACACTTCAGTTTGACAGATAATTTGGCATTATTTTATTATGAATCCGAGTGAGCATGAATGAAACAAAATCAGTACCAACTTTCTGCAAATGAAGACACAAAGATGTGAAAATTTGGTAATAGACAGTGCTCTCACAAGCCTGAAAACACTTAGGAAATGCAAGTTTCCGTAAATAAGGTGAATGTGGTTTAACTTTATTTACCTGCCAAAGAATCTGTCTAAGAACACTTAAACATAAAATTTCTTAGCTCCCTAACTTATAAAAAAATTTACTTTCAACAGAGGTGAGGTACTGGGCTGTCATTGTTTACGCTAAGTCTGAAATAAAAGCTGGATGAGAAGAGTGAATGAAGAAATAGCAAATATACAATACATTAAAAACCAAAAAAAAGAGACCTACCGCTTGACACACTAGTTCTGAAAGGTTGCAGAGGCTGTATTAAAACTGAATTTAGGAGTAAAAACAACCATCTGGGTGTGAGGGATTTTCTAGTTCAACTTCCTGCACATCAGCGTGATATGTACTCCCAGATACCTATGGATTTCTGGAAACATGTTTGCTCATTAACATACCCCAATTCCACAGGTGGGGAAGAGAAGGCAGTTTGATTGTATGGCAGTTTGACTGTGGAGCTATGATCACACTTTAGATTTAGGACAGGCAGGCAGAAGAAAAGCAATACAGGGAGTAGAGGGTGCTCAGTTTTGAGCAGAAAGGGCAGCCTTCAGCATGGGTGTGCCCTGGAGCAAAGGGAAAAGAGCTCTGCCTGATTAAGTTAGGGTGATAGAACAATACTTGAAGTAGTCATTAAACCATCTACTGTGTATTTCTAAAACATAGGAACAGCAGTAGTGAAGTGTACTCTATTACAGTTTATTGCTTAATCCTATTCTCATACTATTTTAAGTAAGAACTGTACAGCAACTGGGCAGGGAAGCAGCATGAGTGCCATCCCCTAAAGCACAGATGTTCCATATGCATTCTGATGAGAAAACATACTCAGATAACTAGCAGTGCTGACAGATTTAGTATTTGAATTCAAAATAATTTCTAAAATCAAAATTATTTCTAAAATACTGACTTTTGACTCAAGAACAGTTTATTACTTTGGTACCTCTTGGTCCTCAGTTTCTGGAACTGGTAGCAATGTTCTGTGCATGTTTTCCTAGCTACTCTGCATAGGCATAAAGAATAGAAGTGAAAGGAGTTTGTAATCACATTCCACTATTTGTTTGCTACAGATTAGTTTTTTCCATAGTTTTCCAAAAGCAGGATATAAGCCATATTTTAATTCAATCACGCACACAGAAACTTGGGTTTCCCCGTTTAATAAACATTTTGTGGTAACACCAGCCAGATTTACATAAGACCTGGACATTATTTTTGATTGTATTTGTGGGGTTTGTTTTTTGTTTATTATGTTACAAACTGAAGTTAAAGGGAACTTGCAGCAAGTCCCATAAAAGCACAGTGCAATGTTCAAAGAGAAAAGTAAACAAAACTGCCAAACACTCAATCATTTTCTGCCAGAACTGGGATATTTTTTTCTAAGACATCAGTTTGGGGAAGGAGAGAAAATTCAATGAAGAATTAAGTGAACTCAGGATAGTGGGAACTGCAAGGAAAAAAAAAAAAAGAAATGACAGCCACAACCTTTTCAATTTAAGGGCAGAATATAAGTCTAAGATATTTTTGATAAATTCTGACAAGAAAAAGAAAACAGCATACTTTAAAGTATATTGAAGCAGTGATTTTTAAACAAAGAAAGCAGAACTAGAACATCTTAAATTTTTAATCCTTTCTTTACAGGTTACCTAGCCCACTTTTGATTAAGAAAACTGTAGAAAGTTAGTAACAGCCACAAGTTAACACCGAAAGGTGGCACTTGTCAATTTTCCATAGAGTCCTGCTTTACGGGGTGTCTCAAATGCACTGCTCCGATCTTCTATCATACGTTGCTGACATCAACTGTGTCAGATTTTAGTCCACTGGTCGCTTTTCACCATATTTCTTTGTAAACTCTTCAGCGTTCTTACAGAATTTTTTACGGTCCTTAGAGTATTCTTCAGCTAGGTCAGCCCGAAGGGGGTGCTCGGGCTGTGGATCATTCACCAGTGCTATGAGGGACTGGATTACTGTCAAAAGAAGTATAAATATTGTCAGATACTAAGATGGTTCATTTTTAATATCAAAATGTAAGCAAAAATCTCCAATAAGAAAATAGCAGTATGCCAAGACTGAGTTTGATACAGTGAATGGGTACCAGAAAATCATATCTGTAAGCAAAATCAACTACTTCAGCATAGATCAAAATGCACTTCAAATTATTTCCCATGTAATTAGCATCCTATCTGTGAAATACTTTTCACACAGCTAAGGAGGAAATGAAGTTTCACAGACAAGCTCATCTAAAATGGACTGGATGAAGAGAACACTGGGATCTCCATTGTGAAGCATTTTTTCCTGACACCTGTCACAATGAGTTACACCATTCAGTTGTAATTGGGTCTGCTTCGGGAAACCATTTCTTCAGCTTTATATCTTTCTATGACTCTTACCTCCCCTACAAACACCAGACAAGTCTTGTCATTATTCTGAACTGCCAAATATATCTCCTAGTAGAGAGATACTGCGGAAAACAAATGGGTAAGAACTGTAAGATGCTTTTTACCTTACTGTTGACAACTATTTCATCAGCACTCCTCATCACTGTCAAAGGAAGTCATTCTTACAATAACTGCATCGCACTTCACATTTACACAATGAACCTCACATACTACGATGACATTTATTGCTACATTTTCCTCATATACATTCTCATGACCATTTAAAGCTAAATTGGTTACAACAATCCTGAGATCTGATACCCATCCACTGAGAGGGAGGTACGTAACAGGGCAAGCCTACAGACAGGACACAGAAAACGCATTTCTCTGTACAAGAATAGCAACAACATTCCACTTGAAGTAAGTTTGGGCTATCGAGAGCAACACAAAGCAGTACCAAGATATTTTAAAGTAAGCGTACCACACCTGTTAACTGCACACATTATACACCACAGCCAGCCTCCTTCTGAACTCGCATCAAATTCTGAGAGCCGCAACATCCAGTGGCAGGGAGCTCCACAACAGAACTACACATTATATGGAAAGTCAGGTGCTATTGTTCTGAAACTTCTGCCTACCAGTTTAACTGCATTCTCCCTGGTTTGGCAATGTCAGTTCTTACAGTACCTATCACTCTGGTAGATTCTAGAGCAGCTTCTGTCAGAGCACAAATCTCCTCACACTCATACTCGTTTCTACCCTTACCTGACACAAAGGAGGGACACACCTCTCAAAACAAACTCCCAAGAAGTAAGGTTGTCAGTATATTGCCAAGCAGGAACCTTTCTTAACATAAATCAGAGTTTAAACTGTAACAAACTTTCTAAGGAATGCAGAACTGGTACTAGCTTACTTCACAGCAACTTGCCTGTCCTGTACTTCTGAAAACTGTCATCATATTGCTAGTATTTACTTACCAGACTAGGATCAATACTGTATGTAACCCTTTTCACTCAGTAAAACATAATAAAACACTGTAACAATCTAGTAACACTTTATAGGAAGTTAACCCACAAACCAGGAAAAAATAGCATTTTTCCTAATTCCCTAAATTCCTAAAACCAGTAGTTGTCTCAACAGCCACAGCATTTTAATACCATACTGTCACCATAGTCTTAGTATTAAGCTAAATTAATAAAGTTCAACTCTAAACACTATACAAAAGATGAGTTGATGATCTATGATAAACCTCATTTCTCTATTCTGTGACACTTAACTGATCAAAATCAATTATTTTGATACCCATAGTAATAACGTTGCCTTATTTCCAGAAAAAGGCCTACACAGCAAACAACCTGAAGTTTATTTTTCTGTGCAGAGCAGTCCTACAGAAGAGGGGACAGACACTTAAGCAGGGCTGTAATGATATTGTTGCAGGCTCATATAAGGATGAATTAACATCAGACATTGACACTAAAATGACTTCTTAAAGAGGAAAAAAGATGCACGAAAGACCATAAAACAGCAGAATGAGAAATCTGAAATATTTTGGTACCCAAGATCTGTTCCAAATTCTAATTGTAAGGTACTTTGTATCGCTTTTCTCAGAAAAATAGGATTTTACTACTTCTTCAGGAAACACTATTTCCCACACACAAATGATTTCCTCAATAGTTCCAGCTGACACCAACTCACACTTCTAGCCAGGTGGAGCCATTAAGTCATTCCTTTCCTTCAACTTATTAGCTTTCTCTAGTTGAGACAACTACTAAGTTGTTCACAGAAACCTTCTACACATTGCTTCAACTTCATTTCTCCAAAGGATCTTTGTCCTACATATTCTAAGAAAAATCCAGAACAAATTGCAAGATTTTCACTATCTACTTAACAGGTTCTTTTTGCTTCTGTCCCCACTTCCCCCCCAACATTCAACTGCTCATTCTTTTCCAAAATAAATTTGTGTATGTATATATGTATATACACACACACATAAATATATATATTTATTTTGTCATTGGGGTGAGATGGTGCAAACTAAGTAGTTTTATTAGCATAGAAAAATATACAGAAAAAGAAATCTTAACTAGAGCATTGTTTACTATCAGGAACAAGGTTCACATGAAAATAATCCTAATGAGCATGGAAGATGGAAATACGTTTTCCTACAGACCAAGACATATCAGTGCCATTGAAGTTCTTGCACTGGATTAAACTGCTACTGATTTGCATTCAACTTGTTAAAACATGCAGTTATTGCAAGAATGCTTGCCTTTTTTTTTTTTTTAAAGTGTACAGTAGTAATCACTTAATATCAAATTTCTCGTTCCCTGCCAGAAAAAAAAAAGAAATTCTCACCCCAACAGGAACAACAACAGACGAAGCCTATTCATTTCATACTCTCAGTCTGGCCAAGGACCCGATGAAACTTTTACCTTAAAATATTTAAATTCTTATCCAAAGACACTCTACACACTAAACCTCACAGCAGTGATCTTTTAAGAGCTAAGAGTTGTGTTATAATTTAGTTTTTGCTTAACCAAACAAGGCAAACGACACATCTGGATTATAAAGTCACTGTTTAAAATGAAACATGAACATGAATACCCTCACCATTCTCTCCTGACTACCAAGAGAAATGACTTTTAAAAAAAATATATACCATGAGCTACCACCTTAATAAACTCATCAGTCATTAAGTTTCGTGGTTTCCTGGAGGTGGAAATGCCACAAGTCAGTGTCATTACCTTATGTTCTAATAACAAAATGAGATTCCAAAAGAGTTGCACACTGTGCTCACATCATGTGATTCATGATGCAGAGCTTATGGAAACAGATACATCAGGAAAGCAGTCACTGCCTGACAAGGTGAAATGCTACTAGCTTCAAACACACAGTGCAAAGTCTCTTAATATTCGTTTTTTTCCCCCATTTCTCCTACCTTGGTCAGTTTTGGTTGCTGGCTTCCAGTTTTCAGCACTAATTACTGGCAGACAAACCTGACCCTTTTCATCGATGTTAGGGTGATAGATCTTCGTTTTAAATGTAATCTTAGGAGGTTTGAATGGATATTCTGCTGGGAAGTTGATTTCGATTCTGAAGGCTCCTTTGTCATATGGAGGATTGTCCTGCAACAAGGTAACAAAAATCAAGAATGCAGCATATTCTAACAAACAAAATTTAAGAAAAAGCAAGCTCCAGGCTTCAGTCTATCAAATGACCTCGTTTTAAAGCACTTTTTTCCCTAAGCACACTGACACGTCCATGTGTCAGAACATCAGAACCAATTTGGGAAGAAAGAAGCAATACAACCTCTATCTTTGTATTCACCCTGGAAAAGGAGAATTATCACTGTTCTGAAGCAGGCTGACATTTCTACTGGTAGGAAAGCACCCAATACCATTAACTCCATGATCAGAGATCTATCTAGTAAGTACTTTTATTTCCACACCTTTGTATTTCAAAAAAAGCATTGTAAACCCTTTCTGAGACACTAACAGGAAATCTGGCAAGGAAATTGGTTTCTCTAAACCTAGTTATTTTGTGTGTCTCACAACATGGTGGTTCGAACAGAAAGGCAGCTTGATTCGTCAGATTTCCCTATACATTCTGAGAACCTTTTTGTGCTGACTACATAAAAATCTGCTGAGCATTCATTTGTACTAAAGATAGATATTCACTGCGTCTGCTGATGAGAACATTCTGAATTCGTATGCAGTTTTAGCACCCACTGTTATCAGATCATGTTTGAAGGAGTACGATGAAAGAACTGTGAAGGAGGCAAAGCAGATCTTCCTGCTGTAACAGAAAAAAACAATGCCTAGAACCTCATTTAGAAAACCTGTTAGACTATTGATATTGTTTCAAATAGTAACTGCAGAAGAAAGGCAGAAGAAAAATAAGTTATTGCTACATTTCAAGCTGATAAAAATGCCATTCTGCAATGAAAACAAAAAACTGTCATGAAGCCTTTCTAGATACTTGAAGAAAAACAGTTGAAGACTGAATGTTTCCAGTTTGTGTTAAGTATAATCACACAGATCCTTCATGACCCATCAGATAATTTCTTTCAATCAAACTCACCCACGAGTTAAAAAAAGCTTTACCAATATTTGGGGGTAAGGAGCATTTTGAAGTTTTATTTTAGTTTCATCCATGTGGGGAAGGCTGGCTGTGCATTTCTAAGAAATAAAGCACAACTTTTTGAGTCAAGGCCAGAGGAAAGTAAAGTGCCTTAAAATCACTTTTTATCAAAGCAATCATAAAAGCCTGGTAAGTTTAACAGGTAACTTTCTGGTCATAGCGACCATTTCAGCATTTAATGCCCTCTCCCCCAACCCTGTTCACTTGTTCTTACCTCCACCACATGCTAGAAATTGTGAAGATGTTCAATGAACTGATACAGGAACTGACCTGGCTTAAAAACATCCATTTCCTGCTTGGCTCTCTTTCAGTCAAAACAGTTCTTCACTATAACTCACCAATAAATTTAACTAAAAATGTATGTAAAAGGGTTGCTCATCTTTTCAATAGACAAAACACAAACTATTCCAGCAACTCATTTCCAATAGTTTGTTGCATTTATTCTGATACTGACAAGGGAGAGAATCAGAATTATAGTGAAACACAGATGACAAGCAGTTGACTTACATTCACCTGGAGTATTTTGCTGCAAAAATTTATCAAAACTGCTCTTTTTTACTCTGCAAAAGTTTATCAAAACTGCTTGCTATGGACAAAGTAAAATGAAATTCATGGTACACCAACAGTCCCTCTTAAAAGGGCAAGGAGCCTGAAGTCTTGTACTGGTGTTTGAAACAAACAGTGTACCTTCCCAACATAGGGTACATACGGTGCCCTATTCTAGGATTTAGAACAGGAAAACACATTGACAAGCTGTCTCAGTTGAACACTCTGGAAAACTAACAGTCATTGCAAAGAGCAAAATATGATATATAAAGGTTTTTAGAGCTGTATTTTTCACAGTAATTCTGCATGAACATGCAGAACTAACATATTAACCTTCATATCTTAATGAAAGTGTTAAACGAAACTGACCAAAATAATGCCTAGTTACAGAGTTTAATGATCAGTAACCAGTTATTCCTACTACAATATGAGTAGTATGTCATTAAACCCTTACCAAGAACAAAAATGGAAACAGCAAGTAAAACTTCAAAAGCAACAACTCAGGAAAAGAAACAAAACAAACAACCTATACTTGCAACCAGTTTGTATTTGACATTTTTAAGCCACCAACCCCAAGAATGCAATAGCTAAAAAATTATGCTTCATAGAAAGCATCGTTTTTAGTATTTCCTCTGAATAGTCATCTATACTACTCTTTCAACATTTACAACACATAATTATTAATTACTATAATAAACGTAGATTTCGTGACAAAATTCCCTCTTAACTACACCAGTAATGAATCTATTTATGTGCCCTTGCAACAGGGCACAGTATAAAGCAAAAGGCAAGCATAAAGTGTGGCTCATTGCAATGATGCTCGAACACTTGCAATGTGAATCTTTGCAAAGAAAACAAAGTTCATGCTCATACCCTGGTGAGCAGAAAGTATTAGAAATAGTACACCATGTACTGCAAATTTTAACAGGAATAAACTTTCTGGTGTTTTGCTTTATTAGCCACATTACTGTATTATCAAAACACTATCCTGTTATACATGAACCACAAATAGTGTAGTGGCTTACAAAGCACACTGTTCCTCAGCTATGCCAAATCCTAGTGTCAAATCCTGCATTCTTTATTTGCGAGAATAAGCTCAACCACTAGAATTATTTGCAGAAATGCATGTAAAGAGTAAACTAAATCTGTTTTACAGTACCTCAAGTTCAAAGGCCTTGCAATTATCTCAGCAGAGACTGCATGATCCAAGTTCGGGAATGCCCTTCAGCTAACACAGCACAGGCACTGCCAGACTGTTTCAAAGTGTTTTAAAAAGACAGATTTACGCTGGTCAGGAGACCTTTTAGGTTGTACTAAAGGAAAAGCAGAACTGATGCTCTACTGGCACGGCTTCTATTGCTGCAGACATTCGAGTAGCTCATGTAACTAAGTAAGCGTGAGCCATGGCTGTGGAAAATAAAGGAGGTGAAAATCCACATGACTTCAATTTAAAGAGTTCAGTTCTGGGAATCCAAACCTTTTCCTTGCATCAAACTTTTTCCAATACTAAATTTTGTTCTAGAAATACAGTCAGTTACAAACAAAACAATCCAACCAACCAAAAAAAAAAACAACTGAAAACCGAAACACACACCAAAAGCTATTGAGAAGTAAACGAAGTATTCACAATTCAGACTTTATCCTATGATGTAGATTTTGTACTTTCAGATTAACGTAACAAACCACAAAATGAACCTGCCTCCCCTTTACAAAACCTTTCCATAGTAACCCAGTGCCATCACTGAGCCCCAGCCCTTGCCAGTTGCAGCTGTCTGTTGGACCAGGCCTACAGCTGCGCAGCATCCAGCCAGGTATCGATCAGAGAGGTCTAGAATCTCTTTCAATTACGTATGGATTTTTCTTCACAGGAGTTATGAGAAACACCGACTAACGTAATCACACATGGATAGAATAAAACCACACAGGACATTCAAGTAAAATGAGACAGGAAGGTCACAGTATTTGCCTAAGATCAGAGAAGTCTAAAGAGAACCAAGAATTAAGTCTAGGGCTACATTAAATGCCCAGAAAACCAGAACTCCGAAAGCCAGTTCTTACAGCAGTAAGAAATAGTTTTGCACCCTCACAAGACTAACAGCACTAACAGTCACTAACAGCAGTGCTAACCTGTGCATTTGTGATACAAATGATCATTGCTTTATTTTAAAGCTCATTAGAATAAGGAACCATCTATACTCACAGGAACAATAAGCCCTTGCCAGGTCAATAAATTAGCTTCATCAACCTGGATATTACGGAAGTTTTTCATTCCACATTTGCGGATTTCTTCAAGCTCCTGGAAAACAAGCAGAGTGTAAGCGAAAGTTAATAGTAACATCAGACAAGATGCTCGTATCAACATTTCAGAATGCTTGCAGGTCAATGTGGGTTCTTTGATACTAAAGAATATTGAGATTTCAGTGGCGGCAACCCACATAAAACAGAAAATTTTGCCCCTGTGGGAAGTAAAATTTTCTGAGACAGGGTATTTTAAAATAGTTGTTTTTTGGTAGGTCACAGATACAAAAATGCTTTGTTAATAACACCACTATACATGCAATGAAGTAGCAGTATAAGAAAAAGTATATTTTTTAACTGTTTTTACATCTCAAATGCAGATCAGTGCCTTTGATAACAGCAAAGAACAAAAATCAAATGCAACTGAGGACTTTTCTGAATGAGAACTATTGATTTGGAAGAATTACTCCATAACAGCTTTAAACACTTAAGTCACTAGACAGACCCATTATTTCAACCAAAAACTAACAGATTCCTGCTAGATCAACTTAAACTGATGCAAATCCAGAAAAGTATCCAACCCAAGGTAGACTTATTTAGATCAGTAACTCAAGTAGAGTTCAGAAGAGTTCTTCATCTTTGGTTCATACCTCTGAGTTAGCAGCATTTATTAAGATGCCACTCTTTATAACTACATCACTCTTGAACAAAGCATCTTTCTGCACCCATCAATCACCTGTCAAATTATTTTCGATAGGTTAGTGATCTATCACCAAAACAAATATTTTAGCTATTTTTATATTTAAAGTCACCTATAAGCCCTACTGTTTTCCAGAGTATTTCATCTTGAAGCTTTAAGACCAAAAAAAAACACCTCAAGGCTCCACTTTTTTTTTGTAATTATTATTTTTAAACCCAGTAGTGATAGGCCTTTGCTGTTGAATTAAAGAGCTTGACCTTTAATGAGAATTTAAGTGAATTCGAATTCAAGTCATCCCCAGTGAAACGTAAAATCTTCCCGGTGATTTCAAGACTGAAGCACACGCCTGTATGGCCACACACGTTAGGAAAAATGTTGCTTCTGTGCACTCTGCCAGCACACAATTCTTTGCTGAGTGCAACCACATTCGTGAAACTAGGCTGTATGTTATGATAGGAACTCCAACTATGAACTCCAAAAACATTGTATGCTGGAAAAACAAAACAAAACAAAACAGGTTTCATGGTAAATGTTTTTTTTTTTTTTTTTGGCTAAAATATTCGTATTTCATCATAGAACAACCTTTTCTGCATCTGCCTGGCAGAGATTTAATGCTTGGAGTGATCTCTTGCATAAACTTAGCAACATGATAAAACACAAACACAAAGGGGGAACAAGATTTCCAAATGCACAAAGCAAATAATAAAAAAATCACGACAGCTACACACTAGAAGATGAACATTTCCACTTCCACCCACTGCACCTCTGAAAGCAGGAGCACACTCAGAACACAACAGTTTAACCTTGGTGTCTCGGATATTGAACTGATGCCCAACGCAATCTTCATGACACTAAAACCAGCTGCTCAGGCTGGATCTCTGGATTAATCCCCAAATTCTACTGCTGTTAGATTTGTGCAATATCACAGACATTTTTGTTGTTGTTGTTTTGCTTTTTCTAAAGGATAAGAGGATTATCTTATTTCCTTAATGCAGGAAAACATACGGAAACAAAAAATCCCATGAAGCACATTTAGAGGGATCCAGAGCAAGTCAAAGTACCCAGATGAAAATAACCTTTGTTATCACAGGTATGAGAGATCATTTTTGACCTCTGAAACTGCAAATCTGCACGCTGCTTTACAGCTGGCTTTGAACGCTCACTGCACAAAGCATCAGCTCAGGAATGACCTGATCAACACTGCTCATCCTGGCTGGTTCAGGAAAGGAACTAACTCACAACACTGCTCTAAGCCGCTTGCTGTCTACACTTACAGAACTGTGAAGGCCTGCAAACAACCCCTCCACAGGGTGTAATAGGGATAAACCCCCTTCTACACCAGATGTAACGCGCCAAACACCAGGACCAAAACAAGCCAGATTAACCATAAGGCATTCAAGCATGAATAAACATGCAACACAAGTAGTTTGCCTCTAAAACACGGGAAGAAAAATGGGTTTAGATATTTTCTAGTCAATATATTTAAAATGTTACACGTATATGGAAACCTACAGAAATCCCCAGAACATCCCAGTGAGGGTGCAGCTTCCATGTGGAAGTTATCATCACAGGTTTGGAAAAGTCGCATGAAAGGAAGAAAAAAAAAAAAAAATCAGACAAATATGCAAAAATTATTCCTTGTTTTCCCTCAAGTCCACCACACAGGAGAGGGAATTAAATAGCCTGGAAGACACTAGGGCAAAGAGCAAGCAGAAACCGTGTTCAGGGCACCTTCCTCTTTTAAAATGACTTGCTAAGCCTATGCAGGAGTTCCCTTTCATAATCAAAGAAGTGGTAAATTACTGCGGTGCATTGGGACTACATTCTGTGCTTCTGCTGCTGCCTTGGGTCTTGAGGTAGTAACTAATAACTGAAAAAGGAAGCAGAGGAGTATAAACTCAGCAATTCCTCTCCTCACACAGATACGACTTGCATGAATTATTTGCTTAAGACGGGTTCCAATTTATCCTAGAAGTGTATTTACAGTGTAATACTATATTTGCAATTCATATTTTTAGGTTCTTTTTTGTGTGTAATTCATCAGGAGTGATAAGAGATTCAGTACTCGGGATTAAAAAGGGCACAGGGGGTGTTTGTGTTTTTTTGTTTTTTTTTCTGGCAACTGACAAAACCCCCAGTAAAGATCTAAATTGCCTCTGAATTACAGAGGCAGACACAACTAAAGCATACACGTACAGTTAGGAGTGAATGAGCTACTAAATACCATCAAACAGCGCAGATTAAAAGTTCATACTGTATTTAACATGAGCTTGAGTAAGTCCAAAGAGACAAAAATTACTTGATGATGTTAAAGGATATAGTTCAAATATTTACTTTAAAATAACCCTTAGGAGTTTAGGCAGACAGTGAATGGATTAATTCCTATTCCCGTCCTCTACCCCTTAATTTTGTCAAGTAACATAATTAAAGGCACACAGAAGGAGTGTAACTAGAGGTTAGAACACTGCAGTAAGAATTTAAGTCATCTTTCATTACTCTGTTATCAACCTTGCACGTGGCCTGCCTGCACTGGTTTGCCCGTTTATAAAACAGAAACGTCTTATTTCAGGGGGCTCCCTTGGGACAGGATGTTTGTAGTTTGGAGATGTTCAGAGAAGGTGTTACACACAGTGCGTGAAAAGGGGAAAATGTTGTTTTAGAGGCAATAACTGGTCTGAAGGCAGTCCTACAAGTACGCGCTACCCTTCTCATATATAATCAATCAATAAATTGTTAAAATTTTAATTTTAGCTTTGGACAGCACAAATGATTACATGCTACTGAAAATAAAATGTTTGAAATGAAGAAGAAAATTAAGTGGCATCAGCTTAAAACGTACTCAGCTCTTAAAAAGAAGGTTCAAATATTAAGTATACACCTAAATCCATATATTCTTGTTCTAATAATTTTTAGAATTCCCAGTTCCTCTAAATTCCATCCAGGACTAGGAAAAAATGGTTCTGAACACAGGCCTGAAACTGCTTTGCCCATGCATCTCTGAAGTTTGGGGTCTTGTCTAAAAAGAAACAAACCTAGTATGAAAACACAGTGAAGACTTAACACCAGTAAGAGTTTAATCCAAGATATGGGAGTAGGGTAAGGTCTTATATTGACTTCACCAAGTTCTGCATCAAGCCCAAAATGCTATTAAATTCACAGAGAAAAACGAGTTTACTGAAACAACTCCAAACCTCATTTGTCTTGTGTTTACAATTTCTGTTTACCTGGTCATAAATAGAATCTCTAAGAGAAGCGTGACAAAGTTAAACAAGGCTCCAAAGCACTGATAAGGCGCTGGCCAATTTTACTCTCTGAATCTTGTATACTGCTGAGAAAGGTCAAAAAACAAAAACAAAAACACACATTAAAACCCAGTATAATGGAAAACAAAACAAAACAGATTCTAGCTCTTATAGGAGCTATTATTAAGTTTCCACTGTGACATTACAGCCTGTATACACACACGCTTTTTATTTATTAATTCTACTTTTTGGCAGAATGTTTTCCATCTGATCTTTATTCAGAAATGTTTTCTTAAGATGTTGATTACAAATCCTTTTGCCACTCTTCAGTTTCCAAAAAGGAAAGTAAATCAGTATTCTCACTTTTCCATAGGGACAACCATAGCTGCTCAAAGCCAGACTTCCCTTGTTACTGAGGACAGGACCAGTGTCTGGATCCACGTAGAGTTGTTTTTCAATAGCGAAGTTGGTTAAAACACCTTTATTTGGAATGGTTATACTGTTTACAAGACCACAGCATACTGCAGATTGCAGGCCATCTACAGCAGGTACATGGGTGTGGCTTTGTTTTTCTGTTTTATCATGAAGTTCAATAGTTGCATAAATGTTTGCCTATGCAATCATGGCAGCAGAGTGAGAACAACAAGAAGAAAATACCTGTTACTTATTATTTAAATCTATTTTCAGTTCTTAATGCTAAAAATACTTTTGATATCTAAAAGCCAGGAACAAAAGCATGGATCCTACAGAAACCTTGGCTTGCTCATATTGCAGATGAACACAAAGAAGTAGCTCCAAGCCCGGGAGCAGCCAGCCTTCTCAGATGTTGCTGAAAAATGCCAGTTGAAGGCCCGTGTCGGTACCACACGCTACTCAAACCCCAAGTACTATGACTATCCAGCCCCGAAATAGCCTTCCCTTTGCAACTACCCACTACCTCTCCACATATCATTTAGTTCCAGATCTCCAATGGAAAGCGGCTTGTTTTACATCAGTGGGTGGCAACTGTGAAAAGCACTCGAGTGAAATCTCTGGCACGTCTCCTGGAGATCTGTGTTCCCCATCAGAAGTGTTTGGAGACAATTTGATTTTTACGAGAAAGGGTCTTGAAGCAAAGCAGCTCCCTTGAAAGAGAAAGCTATGCTGCTTTCCTAAATCTAATTACTCTGTATTTGCCTGTTTTTTTTTCCCCCCTTGAGAGATGATCCAAAACAACAAACCCTTGTTGAAGACTGCCTTATTCCCACCTCTCACATTTCATGAGGAGCTGATATCTGACAGCTGTGGCTCTTTGAAGAGGTGTAATGGTGGCTCATAGATCAAAACTCCACCTCAAATGTTGGTGGAACGTGATTCATTAGCTATGAATATTTCACATTTTTACTAACCTAGGTGTGCTCCTGGAAAGACTTGAAAAAACAGTAGAGAACACTTGAGTTAGACTAGTCAATGGTATAAAGTCAATGGCATAAAGCTACAGGAGGCCATAAATAAGGTCTCCAGCCCATGAAATGTAACCTGTGCACACAGAGCCTGATATAACAAGACAATCTTATGCATGTTTTAACTTGACTTCTTTAGGACTTGATTTTTTTTAGTACTTCTTTCACAAGGAGGCTTGTGAGTTGAAGATTCCACCATCGGAAAAGGACATCCACTTCCACCTGCAAGGTGGCAACAAGGCTCCCGTTGCCACTTTTCTGTGGGCAGGTAGCATGTTATTACAAACTTACTACATCCAGTCTTTGTGCCACTGTGATTAATGTGAGTAACTATGCTGCATGACACGCACCCAGAAAAAATTACAGTACTTCAAAATGCTGGCAAGACCTACAGAAATGGGAATTACTTTATTTTATGTGACCTATAAAAGGTTCAAAGCTTATTCTCAGCTACCAAAGACAAACTTGATATTTAGCCCAAAGGAAGACAGTTAATGCTTATCCTAAATTGCTTTAGGAAATGGAGTGACGTGCTGAAAAACTATTTCCTTTAGTTACCATCTCTCATCATTCTATGGCCCTGAGAAATAAACACCACATTTACCCTTCAATATTGCAAAACTTTAACAGTGAAAGACTTTAAAAAGTCATTTGCTGATCTATGAATTTCCACTTTAGAACTTAAACAACAGTATCAGGTTGATACAGATGAGATCGGACCTGCAAAACACCATGCTGCAGAGATCCGCATTACATCATCTGCACAAGAGCTCTGGTTTGTTCCTACCGAGATGAATGAAGACTCAAAGCATGTTGGACCCTGCAAAAAGCACAAAGGTAGCTGCCTATTTAGCAGCACTGACAAGTTACACAATAAAGCATCTCACAGCTGTTGAACTCGCATAGAAAAGTGCACAACACACAGTCCATAAATATAAGGCAATAAAAATGAAAGTAAAAATGTAAGAGGGAAGTTACCAATGCCTCCTTCCTTCCTAAACCACTCCCTCTGAAGAGCAATTGCCACACTGTTTTTCTAGAAAAGAACATCACATTATCAAAAGTCATTTTTACGGTATGCTTTCAGTGCAAAACTAAAGTATTACCTGATGGTTAAGAAGCATAGTGAAACTGAACAGGGGCTGAAAAGCAAGAGGCACTGTAAATATTAAGGACAATTTACTCACCTCCTGGATTTTTATGTCCTGTGCTTTTTTTTTTTTTTAAAAAAAATAATTACACTTTTTCCCCTCTAACAAGAAAGTAGCAATGCTCTTTTGAACAATTAACAGATTTTTCAGAACTAGCATAGAAACTGCTTTGCAAAAAGATAGTTAACAACAGTTCAGTTTATCTGAAACAAAGAACCTTATCTGAGTACAAAGGAACAGACATATTGATGATTCTAAAGCTGTGACAAGAACAAATGCTATCAAAAATGAAATAAATGAACGTCATCTCACCGGGATCCTTAAGGACAATTAAAGGCTTACTCCTATTGATTCAATATATATGAATGACTCTGCACATAATGTTATTTACTATTTAATTTGTGATGTCTACATAGCACAATTAAAATGTTAAAACTACCCTTATGGAAGCAATACTAAGCTATTGTTTTCTTCAAAAGTGACCGAGCTTCAATGGTTAATTAAGCATTTGCACACTTAAGGAAATACAATTTCAAATATCTACCTATCCCAGCCAAATCCCAGCCCTACTGGGGGTCTGCATCCTTGAAGATGCTTCTAAGCCCTGTATTAAAAGGCTAAGTTTAAAAGAATTACCCATATATATGCCAAATCCTAGTGCACGGTTACGTTGCACTCCACAGGGAGGTGGTTTTTAATCAGGTTAAAGCACTGCCTGATGGTCTGAGGGTCCTTCCCCTACGTTTCACAGCACTAGCCTGTAAAGTTCATTGATTTATGTTCCAGGCGTGCAAATACTGTAGGGTACTGCCACAGCATTTTACAGATGACCAGATTTTATGCCACTAAGTATGCGTGTCCTAGGCAAATTCCACTGCAAACAGCTTGTGACACGAATTGGCAATTACACACAACACAGAAGAAACTTGCACCTTTTGGGGACAATCAGTATCTTTTTGTTTTTAAGAAGTATTTTAGCTCTCAAACAAGACGATGACAAAACAAGCCCCTCAGACGAAGCGTCGGTTTAAAAATCACACGCTCCCTTTGTGGAAGCCGAGCTGCAAACAGCACCGCACTCGGGCGCGAGCCGCCGGCTGAGGACGCAAACATCACCGCGCCCGGCGCGTCTGAGCAAAGTGCTGAACCCGGGTCCAGACTTCACCGATAAGCCCCGGCCTCACCCGGAGCCCCCCCCGGCAGCCCCCGAGCACGGCACCCCCCGGGCAGAGCCCCCCCGGCCCCGGAGCCCCACTCGCTGCCCGGGGCAGGGCTGGGACAGGCAGGGAGGCCGGGGCGCCTCTGCTCTCCTCCCCTCTCCTCGCCCCCTTCCCTCTCCCCCCGTCCTTCCCCTTCCCTCCCGGCGCTGCCCCGACCCCTGGCAGCGCCCCGGGGCTCGGCCTCTCCCCGCGGCGTCCCGGCAGCGGCGCTTCCTCCCCCCCGGCCCTTCCTCTTTGCTTAGTCACCGCGGGAGCCCCCCGCGGGAGGGGACCCGGCCGGCCCCCGCCCCGCGCCCCCGCCCAGCCCCGTGCTCTCGGCGGGGCCCTCGGCGGCGCCTCAGAGCCCGGCGGGCGGCGGAGGGGGGGGGGGGGGAGCCGGGGCGGCCCCTGACGGCCGCGGCCTAGGTGCCGGCTGCTCCCCGCCCGGCCAACTCGACCCGGCCGGCGGCGAGGATCAGGGTGAGAGCCCCGCCGGGCTCGGAAGGGGCCCCCCGGCCGCCGGAGGGGCGCTGAGAGGGAGGGGGCGGCGGCGGGCGGGCGCCCCTCGGCCCGCGGCGGCGCGGCGCTGCTGTTACCTTCATCAGCCTCCTGCTGGCCGCCATCTTGGCTCTGCTGCTGCCGCCCCACAATGCATGGCGGCGGCGGGCAGGGCGCTGCGGGACCCAGCTTCCTGGGGCGGCGGGCGGGGAGGGGCGGGGCGGGGCGGGGCTGAGGCGGCAGCGCCAGGCCGCGGGGGGCAGCCCCTGAGGTGCAGCCTCAGCGCTGTCAGCTCCGGGTCTGAGCACCCCAATTGCTCCCCAAGGGGTTCTCCCTCGCCCCAGTGCGCTCAGGAGATGCTCCAAGATCTGCTCCGCCCCTGGCTGGGAGCTTGTTTCCCCTTCACCCTCCTTCACGACAGCCAGTTACCTCAGCTGATCGGACACTTGTTCTACCATAACGCCACTTTTATCACCCAAAAAGTCTCCAAGTTTTAAAACAAGCTTTACAGACTCAGACAAAAAATTACGTGTAGTTATTAGAGGAGGCTTCAGGAACTCAAAAATGCAACAAAAGTTGATCGTAATGAACAACAAGCTCATTGGTGTATGTTCTGAAAAATTATTCCCTGAACAACTATTTGGTAACAAATATTTTGCATTTATATAGTACTTGTTGCTCCAAAACCCACTTAGTGTTTGTTAATGAAATAAGCTATACAGGAACCAACTTAGTACTCACCGCTTCATATGGGTGTTGTAAAATAGTTCGTAAACATCTTTGAAGATCATAATGTAAAATGAGATCATAACTCTAATAGATGTGATACATTCAAAGATTACCACATCCATTTTACTCAAGGAAAACGGAGTCAGAGGAAGCTAAATGAAAGGGGCAGACCATCTGGCTGAAGTAGTAGACAGATGTAAAGCAAGCAAGTGTGCTGGCCAGCTGGAGAAATTCCAGGTGTGTCAGGCAGGTGCACACAACGTGGAAACAGAAATGCAGAGACTCGAAGGAGTAGCGATGTGCTGCTGAAGTGGGGTGCTGGTGCTATCGATTAAAGAATTCTGGTCTGATAAAAGGGCTACCTCAGATTATATGCTATTGAAGTTCAGAAATACCTAAGTCTGATACCATGGTAACTTGGAAGAACAGTTCTTACAAATTATTTTACAGATCTCTAAAAACACACACAAACACAAAAGCCGCTTTAGTTATTATCTTTATGTGACTGAACTCTATTCGTATCTTAATTCAATTCTTTAATTTTCCATGACCAGCGTAAGTCTGAAGTATTAATTTTTTTTTGTTCAGAAGAGTTACTCAGGCCCTTGCCTATACCTGCACAGAGGCACGTAGCGTCCATGCACAAAAGATAATACTAAAAGCAGCACAGGGAAATCTGCGTTTACTATCTATAATTTTAATCCATGATTTTTACAGCTTGTAAGAGTGTCAGAAATATCTGGGATAATTACTATGATAATCCGCATTTCCTTTGACAAGAAAAAATACCACCCACAGTATAACTAACAATAGCCCAGCCAGTTCTTAAGAAATCATTGCTGAGTGTAGCTGTCCTCACAAACTGCCACTTGATGTGGAAATCCTTTATTACAGAAAGGTGTTTGAGAAGTTTAGGCAGAACTGTGCACATTTCACATACCTGCCACCAGCATCCTGGGTCCTTTCAGTGTCCAGTTTTGGACTGTATACAAAGCAAATGCTGTGATGCCAACACTGTTGAATGATGCCTTGTTTATTAGCAAGGGCTGAGCAACCACGTTCATATTGCTGGATCTCTCCGGCATGTCAATTACTGGCAGTCATGCAATGCTGTTGTTCAATACTGAAGTAACAGGAATTTCCCTTCAGACAGAATTTCACCAATCATACCTCTTACTTCCCTGCTAGTGACAAGAACAGGTCATTACTTATACTGACTTTTGCAGACAGTTCTGCATTTTTGAACTTGTTGTTGTTGTTTCCAGGTTGTATCATTTTAATTGACAACAGTACCCAAAAGACAGGTTTTAGCACTTGTCTTGTGATGTCTTCAAGGGACTGGCAGATGTTACATCTATGCCTGCCCACTTCTAAGATCATTTTCTATGATCTATTTCTATTTAGATAAGGGACATAACTGTTCAACTTCAAAAAGAAGAAAAAAAAAAGAAATTGTGTAAACAGCTTGAACAGGTGAACCATAGCCCAATCCTTGAAAATTTTAGAGAAAAGAAAATTTCGGTGAATATTTTCCATTAGGAAATGACCGTCTGAAAGAAAACAAAATAAACAAACAGAACTTTGTTCCCTTTGCTCTTCCCCTTTAGTTTTCACAAATCTGTTGCTGTATTAAGTCTGTCTGCACAACTTGAATATATGAGAAATATGCTGATTTGCAGAATAGAGACAAAATTCAGATTCGAAAGTTAATTAATTAATTCAGAACACAATAAAGGGATCTACCTGTGGTCTGCAAGGGTGAAGTTCACCTTCAGAAGCAGCTAAGATAAAAACATAAAATAATTCATGTCTTAAATCATTATATGGCTCTAAATTGGAACTGTTAAAATGGAATAAAAAGATTTTTTTTTTTTTTTGAGAATCCTCTACCCTATATTCCTGTACAGTTGCCAAAAAAATTAAGTTTTTACACAGGTTTTCTTGTCGCATCAGCCTCTTAGATCTCCAATGATAAGCATTTTAGAGCAATCAACTACATATTGTGATAGAACAAATATATGACAGCTACCGTGCATCTAGTAACGAATTATAAACTCATTTTCCTCCTCCTGTGTTTTGTATTTTATGTACATTATTAAATTGATTCTGCCCTTTATGGAACCCTTTCCTCTTAAACACAAGATTCCTTGACTATTTACAGAAAAAGAAATACATTAAGTCCCCTTTGTTCCAAGGTAAAAGGAAAAAAGAGCTCTGTTGATTTCTTGTGTACTAAGAGTAAACAAAATCTGGATCAAGTTAACACTGCATTGCACATACCATTTACCAGTTTGTGACCAATTTCTAACTCTGAATTACTTCCACTTCCATCCATGATCACGTAACACCCAGCTGACTTATTTAAATAACTCAACTGGCTTATTTAAATGAGTCACATATATCACTATGGTTTTAAGTTGCTTTCTAATGAAGCGTAGCAGCAGAAAAAAAAAGGGAGAGCCTGTATCCATGTCCTGGTCAGCACTGCACAAATGAGCACAAAGTAGAGAAAAGCACTGCGAGTTGCTGCTCTTGCAGCAGGCAGGAGCTCAGCTCAAACCTCACTCACACCTAGTGTCTCAGCTCAGTTCTTCAGTGCTGTGAGACAGTTTGAGGAAGGTTTCCCTTATAACTGCATAACTGTTCTGACAAGGTGGGGGTAGAAAGACATTTCAAAACAGCTTTAATAAAATCATTGCCAAATTACACCATGTTTCAATAGCAACTGTTTAAGTGTGCTGCTGGAAACCGATACACAGATGGTGAGGGAAGCATACGAACTACCAAAGCAGCTACACCATGAACTGCAAATATCCCAGTACTTGAAAGACTGCTAGCAACGCAAGCCTTCTGTTCAAGTTGCATTAGCATCTATAACCTTGAACCAGAGATGAGGTCCCACAGGTCTAGAAACTCTTCAGTATCACAGTGACAAAGACAAATCTCTCACTGAAAAAACTGAGAAGTGAGCGGTGCATCCCTCTCTGAATAACTCAGGAGATAGGATGGCTGGTAAATGCATGTGCCATTGCTTGGAAGATTATTGAAATGTACATTACAGCAGATATCTTGAGGTCTCGTCTGAATTCCAAAGCTGGGCAGGTCCTAGTTCTTGAGGAGTTGCTCTCCTGTCCCAGTTTGGGGTGGGGGATGAGAATGGGGCTGTCCCAGTGTAAGGGTTTTAGATGGCCCAGCAGCATTACAGTTTGGGTAACAGACACAGGGCCAACAGCTTTAGGGATAAGTTGTTTCTCTCTAAATAACAGTACAGTAACAAACAGTAATCAGTCGCACAATTATCCATGTTGTTTCATTAGTACAATGAGCTGCATTGGAACAACAGCAGATCCAGTAATTCTCTAGTATTAGAGTTACTGCGGGCTAAACTTCACGTCCAGGTGCACAAAGACTGACAGGAAGCAAGGCTTCTTCAGGCAAGTGACTCAGAGTAGCCACCAGGCTTTGGGAATTCCCCGTTCCCAGATCAGACTGACCTCTCTTGTTGGTGAGTCACGGCAGCACGACCTGGACTTGTCAGCCAACCGTCACATCCCACCTCTGCTCCTCCTCTGTGCCCTTTTTGTCCCTGGTGCACACGGGGCCTGGAAATAACCACTGCTGTGGGCTGACCCTGGCCAGCAAAAAGGGAACGTGATGAAGCTCAGGTGAAAGAACTGGAGAATCAGCATCAGAATCAAACAGAATGATATCAGTCACCATTTCAGGAACTTGAACAGCTGAAAAAGAGGGAAAACACAAATGTGTAATTTAAGAGCTGCCACATTGCATGTTCTTTCATGGCACAGACCTTGGCGGAGGATTCCAGTGATCTTTATAGCATTAAAGATAACTCTGACACTTCTGAGAAGAGCCCTGGCATCCCATGTAAGTGCCTCAGAATCAGATTCTGTACAGAACAGCCCTAGGTTTTTCCTTCTTTCAAAGAAGGACAATAAGGGATACAGAGAACCATTAACAAAAGTGTTCCTTAATAGTAGAGTCGCCAAGACAATCTCCAGCAAAACTTAACCGAAAACTTAGCTGAATACAGCTGTGATCCTTCTGATGATCCTAAAAAACAGCCTGAAGCAGAGCTTCCTCTAATGCCTGGAGAATAAGGTTTATTCCTTTTGAGGCACGGATGAGGCTGGTTTCTCTGAGGAAGAGCTGACAGGCGGCAGAAGAGGACTGGCTCCCTCTAATTTGATAGTTTCAGATGATCTGATGACAATTTTGCCTCCACAGCCAACTGATTTCTTGCAGAACACAGATCATGAAGTGAGTTTTTGCAGCAAAGTGTTAGTATTAGAGGAAAAGGGGATAGTCTTGACAAAGGAATCTGTGTCAGTGTTGGCTGATAGACGAGGAGACAGAGATTCCTCTTCATCATGCAGCAGTACCTTATCCAAGAAATCTCATCCTAATCAAACAATTTGCAAGAAGTATTATTATTGGCTGGGAGCCTCCACTTGTGCTAGCTGCGTGGGAGGAGGTGCAGAACTATAACATTTATGTAGATACCAAATGTAGTTTATATAGCCAGAATGTGAGATTTAGCTCAGAGACTCAAACAGCGACTGAAGGCTTGGATTTAAAGAAATAAGACCTACTGAATTTCAGCTCAAAGCATAAAATGGAAAGGAAATTCAGATAAGAGGCAGCATACTATCCTGGTAGGGAAAGACTTCCAGATAGCTCCAAAAGGTTTGAAGTTTAGGAGTATCATTCCTACTTCAGAGGTCACTCAGAAGCCAAGCAGCAGCAATTATTTGCATGCTGTGTACCTTAATGAAAGGCACTGCGATGCAGCAAAGCCAGGGTTCTACTGCTCTGCTTTCCAAAGCTTGCAAAGCAACACACAGCATGAAGCAAAAGTGAGAGTGTGGCCTAAAGACATGAAATAGCACATTAACCAGAAGAAGCAGGAGGAAGAATCAGCAGCACTGAGACTTGTTACTCCACCTGCACAACCACCGCATGCTCCACTGGGTGTTCAGGTGGTAGCCTGGCTTCTCAGCTGTACCAGCGTCAGTTAATTCTGGAGGCTCTTCCAATGAACACTGCTGTTTATATCAATGGATAAAGCGACAGAAGCTGCATCTCCAGCACTGGGAGCACCCTGGTGGATCTGCCCCATTTACAGATGCTCCACATACCTCAGAGTTTTCATAATAACTTTGTCTTCAGAGGAAGATCTGTTGTTTCTACACAGAACGTCAGGAACAGGAGACTGCAAATTGAATCATCCTAACTATCATAGTCATAGTTATAGAAGAAGAAGACGGTCTAGCTTCAGGTGTTCAGGGGAATAAGCAGCATAGAAACAGGAGATAACAGTAATCCTACCCTGCAGGAATCTCTCTTTCCCTTCACAACACGTTTACATCAGAACAACATTGAGAGCATAGGCCAATTCCTGACATCTTTGTTTTCCAGCCCATTCTCAGGGGAGATAGGTAACAACAATTCTCTAAGTACATCTGTGGCACTTTTCAACTGCGATCCCATATCTATGTCACCTAATCTTGAGGCAGCTGAAGGTAAGGTGTCATGCAAAAGAACTCATTAAATACACGTGGAAAGTAAACCTCCACGTAAAGCTCAAAGTATTTGGGTCTGTGAATGATGATGGATTTCTCCTGCATGTGCAAGGACAGGGGCAGAATTATATGGCATATTGGGTATAAATGGCAAGGTTTTGGAAGTGGGGATCTGCTTGGGTGCCCTCTGTGCGAGGTGGTCTGAGGTGACCTGTGCCAGTCACGGTTCCAGCCGGCTCTGCAGCACACCACAGCTGGATGAGCTTGTGGTACCTCTGTGAAAACACATTCAAAAGAAGGCAGAAAATTCTGAGGAGAAGGGAACATGGGAATGACAGAACAAGGTCAGAGCACTATGAGGTGCCCCGTAGTGGAGCAGGCACACCCCTGAAGGGACTGCAACCTGTGGGGTGCCACAGTGAGCTCCAGGATGTCCTCAGCAAGCTCTGCTGGAACACCAGTGGTAGCCAGGCCACCCATACTCACCAGGCCAAAACAGTTGCAGCTGGAAGTGTCCTCAAACACACCCCAATGTGGTTTGAGGAAGAGCTGCCTGAGGGCCAGGGGAAGGTGAGCAAGCAGCTGGGGGCAGCCTGGCTGCTGGCCGTGGCCGGCCCACCACAGGTGGACAGAGGGGCCTTGGCCCTTCTGACTTCCTAAAAGCTTTCTCAAAGTAGGAAGACAGTAATTTTAAAAATATAATTCTATCAAAGAGGGACACAGCTTAAAAGCAAAGCAAAAACAAGACAGAGATTAAAAATGTGATTGTTACAAAAAACTAGTATGATTGGTATCCATGAAAAGGCTCCAGCCAATCTGTACATCTAACGCTACACGTGGCAGAATACCACAATGAAAATCAGTTCCACTTCAAGTTTTAACCATTAAGGTAATATTGCTCTTTTTTTTTTTTTAAATGAAAAAGACAAAAATGCTAGTCCTTAAAAAAAAAGGAAAAAGGAGCTCTTTCATCTCTTATTAGCTATATGCATACTATCTAAATGGCTGTTGCCTCCACACCAGGTAGAAGTTGTAGCAACAGACATGAACTTCTACTGCTTTTCAGGTCTTCTGCAAGATAACACTCACTCAGCTGCCTGTTCCTTCTCCCTCTGATTTCAAGTTCTGTTAAAATGGAAGGAGCAGCTCCTTACCAGCAGTAAGCAGAATATTGCAGCAGGAGACAAGCCGCAGAGGCACTTCAGTTAGTACAGAGCCCTTTCATAGCAGAATCCATGTGACTTAGACTCATGACATTCTCATACAAATCCTGTTCATCTGAGATCTTAATGTGAAGAAAGACACTGCTTTCTTCAACCAGCAGAAGAAAACCCCACACAGCTGTTCTCACTAAACTTCACTTTATCTGGAGTGAACTTAGGAAATGTGTATTTATTTACCATTATTATTTTTAAATACTGCAACTTTACCCTGTTTGTTAACCCACAAATGTCTCTTCACCAGCTAGGTGTGAATACAGTGTCCCTATTTTTGTATGTAGAAGCCAAAAAAAAATGAACATATCTTGTCCCAGTTGAACTGAGTATTTTTTTCCACTGACTTTCAAAGTATACAATTAATGCTCAAATTCTTGTCCATCTCTAGATAGAAACACAGACTTTTATACCAGAAATATGTCTTAATTGATACCTCAGAGAGGAGTGACTGCCAAAAACAGTCTTCTGCTCAGACATGAATGAAATACCTATGCACATCATAAATGCTCCTATACTCAAAAAAAAGTTATTCTTAGCTCAGATTTCAAAATGCAGAGTTCTGTTCAGTTAGCACTCAGGTATCCAGTTTTACAATGACTCCATCCATACTGACAACTCCACCAAGTTACATCCAGAATCACCTTTTGTGCACTTAATATAAGGTGTTTCCCCCCTCCCCCCGTAACTGATTAAAGCATTTTCTCTGTAGATACTTGTTTGCTTGGAATGTTACACTATTCTACTCATTAATGTTTAAAAATACACTAGAAATAAGGCAAGTATTTCTATATGAAAAAAGTATGATTGGATCTGGCTATATATGTTGTAAAGGGTGACTCAGCTAAGTTACACTTAGGGTATTTTATATATTATATTATTATATATTATTTATATATTATATAGTATTAATATATTTAAAGAAAATTCTTTATATTAAAGATAATTTATTTAGACCAGTGGAAGGCTTACTTTTTTTAATAGTATTGTTTGTCTCTTCCCATATTTCACTTTTTAAGATACAAATTTGTTTAGTTTTTGGATGTTGGAGATGGCTTGTTTTTAAGTAAGCCTTTATAGCAATAAAACACTATTTTCAGCATTTGCTCTTGTCCTTCACTGAATGGTGTTTTCAAAATTATAACTTTAATAAAGTTATTTAGCCCTTCTGATGTATTTTATTCCATGACTAACTGATAAATCGATCTCTTTGACGAGCAGGGGATCCTGTGACTGGGAGGGGAGAAGAAAAACCCGCAGTATTCCTTTCCAACATTCAGTCATTTCCTAGAATTCTATAACTGAAAAACAATTGATAACGAAAGAAACACTTGCTTCTAAAGCAGAATTAGCCACGCAGAAAGCAATTTAAAATGATTGACTTCAGAAATAGCGATTAAAGCCATGAGATGGCAGCAGAGCCCAAGAAACGAGTACCTTATGGACAGCGATACAGCAGGGATGTCTGCGTTATCACCTCTGTCCTAAATGGCTTTCCTAAATGCCTCTGCTGTTACTTGCAATAAGAAATCCAGAGAATGCTAATCAAAGCGCCTGTTCTTCATTTGTGAGTTACATTTCTTTTTGTATTTCTCACAGCTGCGATAATTTGATCAGTAATCAGATCTCTATTTTAAATAAGTGACTTCTCCCCTCTCCCCCAAGTTTATGCACATCCTTATATCTGCCTTCACTTTGGAAAAGCCTGTTTCAAAAACAAGGATGATTTTTTAACCAAATCTGAATTTCTAGTGTTCATTGCTCTGACACAAGTAAGTTTAGGAATACTCCATTACAGAAATGTAATTGTACTTAAAAGCACGTATTTTTTTAAAGATATGAAATATTACAAAGAAAAGTCTAAATTGAATATAATGGAATGGAGAAGATTGCAAGACTCAAGGCACTTAAAGGAAAAGTTAAGAAGCTCTTTTACATCAAATAAATTGCAGAGAGATTGTTTCCAACCCTTAAAATACTTTAATACTTCTTCCCATATCCTGTCACTCTAAATTACGTCACTTTCATGGTGACCAAAAAATCTTTAAATATCACTGTCATATGGGGAGAAAAAAGGGCAAAGAAACAATCTTTTACCACAGTAACTGTTAGTAAAGATAGATATGAACTCAAGCACCATAGAAAGGGCCGAGGGAGCTATCAGAAGGCTGTCTCTCTAGTTGTATAGCTACAAGTTTGGGAAAAAAACAGAAAAATGAATAATCCAGTGGTCTAGAACAAGCACGGGTTCTGAAGATTGGGCCTGATGAAGTCAGGGGTGCAGGACAAGATCAGGACAGTTTGGGGATGGATTCTGTCTCATTTGTGGGGAAGCCATGGGGGTAGCAGGAGGCAGCGTGTCTGACGGCTCCTGCTGGGAAGGAAGGAGGACGTTGTACGGCTGCTGAAAGCCTGGATCAGCCGTATCCTTACAGATCCCCAGCCACAGGTCAGGTTAGCTCTCAGCTTGCAGCAGCCAGCAGGAAAGTGAGCCGGGCACTAGTGCTGAGTAGCAGCTCCAAACTGGGCTGCCTGCCATCGCTGGGGGCACAGCCTGGCTCCTCAGATGGAGCTCACACCGAGCGGTGCTGAGCCAGGCTGAAGCAGAAAGCAATGCAGCAATAGGTGGAGCACTGGGTTTTCCTGGGGCGTCACGAATACCACTAGGTACAGCTGTCCGAGATATCACCACCTGCATGTGAGCTGCAAGTTCACTGAAATATTAGGCAGCTGAAGGACAAAGGTGGTGTGTGTGTATCGTTTGGCTGTGGACTTTGAAGGTGCTGAAAGGATGACTGGCAGGTCTTATGCCCTAGGAGGTGTTGTTTTAATTAAAATAACTGAAATTTCCATGAGATGCACAAAGACAGACTACTCAAAAGGACTCAAGATACTATAAAAACAACTGCACATTCACAGGGAGATGGCATTAGATGACTGATTATTATTTTAATGTCCAATTTCTATGTTTAAGTAGGGCCATGAATGCCTAATTTAATATTAAAGATATTTTCATTCACATTCAGGGCTTAATTTGAAGCGCTATTGAGGGGTAACATTTAAATGAACCACCCTCCAGAAGGTGAACACAAATTTTAATAAATCAGCTTTGAAAGAAGGCGTCATCTCTCAGCAACCATGTTTTCCAACAAAAAAAATAAAAATCAGAGGTAATGGTCCAGACTTCTAAGTCAAGCCTTTGCCTACACCTGTGCCCTCAAAACTAGATTGCTTTGCTGCCCAGGCTGTGAGCTTCTGAGCATGGGCTCAGGCATGGGTGAAATTCAGCCCTTCAGGCACACAGGTATGCAACATGACTGGTGGATGAGTGGCAGACACTCACACAAGTCCATAGGGTGGTTCACATGTCAGTCCTGTAAAATGCAGCCAAAAGCATAATGCATCACTCCAAAAGTATTTCCTCTAAGAAATACTTTTTTTTTTTTTTTTTTTAAGAGCAAAGCTGACCCAGGCTGTACACAGTCACCCTTCACAAGAAATGCTTACAACGTTCTTAGATTCTCAGCTCAGTTACTTCTGCACACATCTGATGGAACAGATCCTGTGGAACAATGCCATGAGGCCAAGTCTAGTTTTATTAGATTTCGCTATTTAAAAAAAACAAACAAAAAAACAACACCCTAATATTATTTTAAGCAATGAAAAGCAGGAGCGGCATCCACTTTAAGGGGATATATTTTGCTATGACTTTTACCCCTGACCTTTTCCTGCACAGCATGTTTCATCCTCATGGCCCGAGCACAACTGGTGCTAGCGACTCAAGCTGTCACATCCACGTAAAAGGAGGAAGCAAAGCTGGCATTATGCAACTCGCTGCTTATTCACAGAGTGAATGTGAGTAAAGACAAATCCATGAAGTATGTGGCAGCCTCAAGGACTGCATCCTTCAGAGCACATTAGTTGTCTGGTTCCCCTCCACATGACCAAAAGCATGCTGTTAGTGTTCAGAAAGCTCCAGCACAATATGGTTTATAACAACTCATCTATGAAAAATGGGGACCAAAAAGCTGTCTTTTTTTAAAAAAAAATAAAATAATGTTATCCATCCCATAAGAAGAACATTCTTAAAGGCTTGAAAAATCAAGTCATAAAGTAGGAAGACTGAATTTTAAATTAAACTTATACATTACTTATCATCTCTAAAAAGGCAGGCAGATGATAAGAAGTATGGCAAATGCAGAAATCCGTATTTTTAGCAACATTTCTTTACATATTGTATTGCAAAATAGCCTTCCAAATTCTAATAGAAATCACCATGACTTACTTTACTCTAGTAAAGAAAAATAGAGTCTAGAGAAAACACTGCTTCCATGGCTTATAGCTTTTAGAAATTACCTGCCAAGTGTGTAATTTTAAAGTGATTGTCTTCCATTAGAGCTACAATAAACAGCATGGTAGAAAATTCAATCTGATTAGCTTTTCTAATGAGCTGCAGGAGGTTGCGGAGGCCAGAGCAGAAGAATCTTAAACATTTCATCACTGATTACAAACCTGCCTCTGAATTAATCAGATAATGAAGTGCATGGATTTAAGGAACCTAATGCTGATCAACAAATTATCAGTGATCCTTGCAGATTTTTGGCAGGCTAAACTCTTTTTTTCCCCTAAGATTTCCTAAATCACCAAGGTTACAAAAATCATGTACTATGTATGTAGCTTTCTCTGCAGTGACCAGCAGATGCAAACTTTATAATTTACAGAGCTATTTAATTTACTCACAACCTGTTCAATTTCCTTTCGGTCTCCAGGAGGGCTGTTGGTATCACAGGTGAAATTTAATTGAGACAGCAGCAATTAAGAAGATAAGATAAATCCAAACCTCTTTTAAGTACAGTTTCACTGGAAAAAAGGAAGCTCTTACTCTGTAAATGAGAGCAGAAAGGGTTTCAGGTATTGCTAGTGCACATTGTGCAAATCCAGATTTCTAAACAGAAACTAGCCCTGTCAGTAGAACTACTTACCACAGTGAGCATTCAAACTATGCTCGGGCTGACCTGCTGTTGTCTGTGCTGCTGCTGCATTCCTCTCCAGCCAATTCTTTCCCTTCTGTTTTGCTGGAGTTTAATCGTGCGCTTCCATTTTGCAACAGAAAAACTGGCTGTAGGACCCCAAAGCAGTTGTATCTACTGAGGCAAAAGAACACAACAAATCAGTGCCACTGGTACTCAGTATTTAAATTTCAGCAACCCCAGTGCTCTCTGTAAGCACGTGTAACACCTCATGGTTCGTACTTCTTGTGAGACCTTGAGCTAGGTCTGAGGCACAGGGAGAAACAGATTCACTTGCTGTTTCTTCTGAGTTGTGGAATACTTTGCTCTTGGGATTTATTTTCATTTTCTGCTTAGTCACCAACTTAATACTTAATGAAAGATCAAAGCCATCACCGTTAAAATCTAATATACTGCTCTTGGCTACTGCCAAAATCAGGGTATGGACTAGATAGACCCTTGCTCTGATCCACTATGGCAGGTCTTATGTTCTTATTATGACTTAAAATTTACTTTCCCCAAAGGGATGTGCTTGTAGAAGTACATCTGTCAAGTGATTCATGAGAAGTGGACATAAAAGAGAACTGAATATGACTAACTGAATACATTAAAAAATTTAAACAAGTATTCCTGGCAAATGAATACTTGAAAGATCTTACGTAAAAACCCTGAGTAACAACTTGAATTTGTCACTGCTGTAGTATCTGTTTTACACTTTAAATAGTTGCACCTTTAATCAAACATTTTTTTAACGTTATGTATTGCCCTTTTCTTATAAAGACATATGGGTTTTTCCTTTCTGTCTCAGTTGTTTTGGATTAAAGAAGAAGAGGCAATTACAGGAATATCAAAGAAAGTGACAGAAGCAATCGCATGGATCAAATTATTATCTCATTGAAATCCAGGGGCCTGTTACTTTGTGAGTTCAGTCAGACCAGGATTCATCCTCGTTGCTTGGAACAGTGGCAAATTTGTTTTAATCTCTGCACATCACTCATCTGTGCCCAGTGTGACCTATCCTGCAAGGTTAGATTTTTGGTATTTGTCTGAATAGCTTTTAACATAGATAGCTCTGGAAATCAAAGATACTCTGGATAAAAATGCCAAAACTCTTTTGTAAAGTAGATTTTATAAGAAATTTCATTTCTTATTTCAGACTTCAAATGTTCAGAGTTACTGTGAAAGTAGAGGTGATTGATAGATTACTTGTTGAAAGCACGTTTTATTATAACACTTGTTATTGAGGAGTAGGAATAAGCTCAGTTTTATGGGAATAACCATTTTATACATTACTCCTCACATCAGTGTGTATGCTTTCAAGTAGTGGCATGCACATGTTGTAAATAAGGTGTCTTTATGATTCCAATAGCGCATAATCCAAACAGGTCAGCCAAGGAAACAGAAATGGGACTGCATCTAGAGATGGAATGGCATAACACTGACACTCATATTAAACAATCTCATTTTTCTTCCAACTGCAGACAAAGCATTGCTCAGTGTGGTTTTGAGGGTGACACGTTGTCTCTAAAATGTCTTTTTCTAAGCACAATTTTGAACATCAGCTGTCTCATTGCTTCGGAGTTTTCATGACAGGCTTCATTTATAATGTTAGAAAACAGGACGCTGCAGCACCAGCAAGCCTTTCAAAACATCCAAACCAACAGGAATTCTGTTGGGTGCCATCTTAAGTGAAATGGAAAGACGGCAACACCTAAAAATAAACAAAGATGAAAGCTCTCTTTAAGCTATGATCAGTGGTGATTCTTGAGACGTAAGAAAGGATTTTCCATATCCCACCTACCTGTACAAGCAGACAGCAGAACAGAGTTGGGGTAACAGGGGAATAAAAACAACAATTAGCTCAGACCTGGCAAGTGACTAGTTTAGTTTAAAAATTTTCCCCTTCTGGGATTCCACATCCTCCCTAGATAACCCGGTCCACTGCTTCACTGCCCATAAACTCAGAAAGGAAGCCGTACTATTTAACCTAAAGTACCTGCTGAAAATTAGCCAAGTATCTTTCGTTTTGTGTTAGTAAACCTAAAGAGTGACTATTTGACACTTTAAGACATCAAATTAAAACACCATTTACATAGTTGGAGAACTGTAGTTTCTCTCATCACTCTTCTAAACTCAAAGACATTTCTTTTAACCTGTCCTCCTGGGTCATGTTTTTTAAACCTCTTATCACTTTATCTCTCCCTCTCTCCTCTCTCCCCAGTTTTGCTCTTTTCAAACTGCAGAGTCCAGAACTAGAAACAGCAACCAGACTGAACTCTCACAAGCACTAAACTGATCACAGCAAGTTTTCCGTATGTGCCTTTTTGTAGACACAGTCTGTGATAGATGACAACCCTCCATGCCATCCAGCTCCCTACACACTAGACTCCTGTGCATTTATCTCATGGAGAACTAAAGTATTGCCACAAGTAACCAAGAGGAAAAATCATTCTAGATTTTAAAGTTAAGCGATGTCTGAGAGCTAGCACATCGCCATGCATTCTGACCTTGAGCAAGCTCAGCATCATGCCAGCTGAACACTATAGTAAGTATAAGAAGGCTGTCCAGAGAAGTCTGTTTACTGGAGCATTATGATGGGTCAAAGAAAGTTCTTGGCAGGCTACATAAGCTCACGGGTCAGATATTATACAGGCCTGGTTTGTCTTGCCTTTTATGTAGGAAGTTCTTGGGAAGTTCTTCAATAATAAAATTTCTGTTGCTCTTCTACACGTTGTTCCAGTCTCTGAAGACCTACAGACTGAAAATCTAAGGTGCATGCTTTTGTTTATAGTTGCTTGAAAATTTACACATTTGCTATTGAAAATTACTGCCAGTAATTCCAAATCATTTAACAAAATAGAACATTTCCACATAGCTCCCAAATTCCTGTACCTCAAGGTCCTTCATGGCACACAGTAAAAATTGGATGGAAAGTCTGTAAATTATGGACACATACGGCGTGTACCTGTAAGGGTACCTTCAAATGATAGAAGATAGGTAGAACTCTAATGGATCAATGTATATTCTTTAAATGATTCTTTATATGAAGCTGAGAATGAAGGTAAATCTTCAAATTAATTTTCTTTTAAACTTTCTCCATTTTTGTAAATCCCTGTAAAAAGCAACATTGTAAGTAGTAGCGGCTGGTAGGAGAAAACCAAAGTTTTAAACTGTACAGGAGCAAGAATAACTTTCAGGTCACCAGTGTGTTTTAATGAAATATTTTTTAACATCCATATGCTATTACAGTTATGCAATTTATTTTTATATATATTTTTTGGGGGGGGAAGAAGGGAGGAGAAAATGAGTTTTGCATTTTCAAATACATGGCCGTATCTATATGAGGTTAGAGC